GTTGGTGTGTCAGCTCAGGTCCTCCCTCTTTAAAGATTTCAGCAGGGATCCCGTCTGGTCCACTGGCTTTGTAATTTTTCTGTTGGCTGATGGCATTGCTGACTTCTTCCAAACTGGGCAGTGCTGCAAGCTCATCCCTGGTTTGTTGTTGTGGGATTTGTGAGAGGACCTCTTCGGCCACATTGGAGCTGCGGTTCAGGAGGCTTTGGTAGTGTTCTTTCCAACGTAGTGCAATTGAGTTTTGGTCCTTCAGGAGTTTGGATCCATCTGATGAGCGTAGAGGCTGTATGCCATGGTTTCTTGGTCCGTAGATGACCTTTGTGGCCTTGAAAAATCCCTGAGCATTATGGGTATCTGCCAGGTGTTGGATTTCTTCGGCCTTCTTTGTCCACCAGATGTTCTTGAGTTCTCTTGGACCTTTGGACCTCAGCTTTTGCACTGGCATAGATCTTTTTCTTAGCTGCACAGTTGATGTCTCTCTGCCATGCTTGGAAGGCTTTCCTTTTCTTGTCAATTAGCTGTTGGATCTCGATGTCATTTTCATCAAACCAGTCTTGATGTTTCTTGGCTTGGTATCCAATAGTTTCTTCGCAGGCTTGGATGATGGAGGTCTTCAGTTTGTTCCAATGTTCCTCAACATTTTCGGGGTGTACTGTGGGTAGATGGTCCTTGAGTGCTGTTTGGAGATGGGCTTGTCTGGAGGGCTTCTGAAGGGCTTGGGTGTTCATTTTGCGCCTTGTCTTCCTTCCTTGGAGTCTGCGCTTGGGAAGGATCTTGATAGCCATCGAGGATCGAATTAGCCTGTGGTCAGTCCAGCAGTCGTCAGCACCTGTCATGGCTCTTGTGAGGAGCACGTCACGGCGGTCTCTGGCACGTGTGATTACATAGTCTAAGAGGTGCCAATGCTTTGACCGGGGGTGCTTCCATGATGTCTTGAACTTGTTTTTCTGGCGGAAGAGCGTGTTGGTGATGACAAGGTTGTGCTCCGCACATTTGGTGAGAAGCAGGATGCCATTTGAGTTGCTGTTTCCAACCCCGTCTTTTCCTATGGTCCCTGGCCACAGGTCGAAGTCTCGGCCGACTCTTGCCGTGAAGTCCCCCAGGAGGATGATTTTGTCCTCCTTAGGTATCCCCGATAGGACGGTGTCCAGCTGACAGTAGTGACAGTAGAATTTCTCCTTGATGTCTTCGTCAGCATCTAGTGTTGGTGCATAGGCACTTATGATGGTTGCCCGTTGGTTTTTGGCAAGATCGATTCGGAGGGTTGAGAGTCGTTCGTTGATGCCAGTGGGTGCTTCGGGCAGATGTTTCATCAGATCATTTCTGATGGCGAAGCCAACTCCGTGCATTCTTTGGTCTTTTTCGGCAGTCCCTTCCAGAAGAAGGTGTAGCCTCCTTTTTCTTCCTTCAGCTGTCCCTCTCCTGCTCTCCGGGTCTCCTGAAGGGCTGCTCTGTCGATGTTGAAGCGTCCCAGCTCCCTTGCAATGATGGCAGTTCTGCGTTCGGGGCGTTCACTGCCACTGTTGTCCATCAGAGTCCGTACGTTCCACGTACCGAAGTTCATTTTTCTTTTTTGGCCGCAGGGTGGTGACCCCACTGGACGCGGCAGTCCAGTCAGGGATAAGTGAGGCAGAATATGTTTAGGGCACCTTTTCTAGCCCCCTCCCCGTGTGGGGTGAGCAGAGTGGGTCCTAAAAAGGGCTGCTCAGTCGCGGATACAGCTGCCGAACTACTCAACTGCCTCGGACCTTGAGGTAGAACGACTGAGTCCGTACCCACCGCCCATGTGCCAGTCTGTGACTAGGGGCTTCCAGATTTCACAGTCCTGCCCCCGTCGCCACTCGCTGATCGCCATGGGACTTTGGTTGGTTTGTTTTTATTTTCTTTGGAAGACGCCTGTGCGTGGGTTTTTTTAATGTGTGGAGGTCAGTGCACAACTGATCAACACACAGACTTCACAGAGTGAGGTTCCACTGGTGATGTAGTTTAACACAATGACCGTGGCTTCTCAGTCTGTTGCAGCCTTCTTCCGCCTTCGCAGCCGTTGTAACATGTGCCATGTTATCCTCCGCCTGCTCCGCCGTTGAGGTCTTTGGGTCTTCGGACTGTGCTTGGTCTGGAACCTCCCCCGCGCCACTCCTGGGAGTGCACGACTCCAGTTGTTGTGCCTACAGGTTCATCAGAACGCGCAAGCCCCCTCACCACGACAAGGTGACAGTCCATCGAGGGGGACTAGCAATAATATAGTGCTGACCACTAGAGGGGAAAAGTCCCAGAAAGAATGATTTCTTAAGCCCTTGCCTTAAACCCAGGTCTCCTCTAAATACAGAAGGGAAAGGATCACAGGAAGGGGGTTTCTCAAGCCCCTAGTAAGCAGATGAGAGCATAAAATTTGTTATAAATGTATTAAATAATTATATTCCATTCTGTTCAAAGTAATTTCTTTGGTATTTTATGTTTTTGGTGTTCAGGAACATTATATATTAGTAAGCTTTGGCTAAGACATAATCTGAAGTGGAATCAGGTAATAAAGGAGGAGTGATGTACAGGGAAGATATAGGATTTGAATAATATCTTATACAGGAAACACAAGGGCATGTAGGAGATCCGTAAAGTTGGTGACTACGGCAGGACAGGAGATGGCCTTTTCACTGGTGGCAGAAGTGGGGATAAAGGAAAGCCCTCCCATTTGGTGACAATGCTTGGATAACTAAACCTTACATGTGCCTATTAAGTTGGATACAGAATTTCCCTTCTCACTTCTTTGACTGCAAGGTATTTTCAAGAAAAAAAAGTATGAATTCATAAAAGTATGAATGTTATGATTGTTACCTGCTCAGGCTCCAGTTGAATGGCCCTGTCATAGCAAGCTGTGGCATCTCTCAACAATCCAATGCTTTCATGTTCAAGGATCTGTTCTTTGAGTGACGGCTCTGCTTTCCGTATTGCACTCACTCCTTCCACTCCATCTGCTTCATGCATCGCTGCATACAGTTTCTTTATATGGGGAAGAAAACTATATATCACAGAAAGCATTTGGTGGCGTAATGTTTGTCAGGCACTCAGCTTAATACTTTGGGAACATCTCTCCAGATAATATTCAAATAGTGTCATAAAGATTTTGATTTCATCACATTCTAAATAAAATTTAGAGGAATCACATCTTCTCACTGCCTGCTGAAAAGGGATAGTTTTTCTTTTTCTGTGTTTTCTGATGCTTTATCATCTTATCAAATATTTTTAAAATGCTGAATTAGACTAGATTTTTATTTTACTATAAAGCAGTTCTATGTTGAGATTACAACTCTGGAGGCCAGCATTCAAATCCATGCTCAGCTGTGGAAAGTAATTGAGTGTCCATGAGAAAGTCACACACTCTCAGCCTCAGAAGGTGGCAACAAATCTTGCCAAGAAAACCCCATGATATATCCTTCTTAGGGTCGCCTAAGTCTGAAATGATTTGAAGCCACACGTTATGCATCAATAATGAAACATAAATAATTTCCTCTTTATTCTCCCCATGTATCTGTTATTGTAAAAGGTAAAGGTTTCCCCTAACATTAAGTCTAGTCGCATCCGACTCTGAGGGATGGTGCTCATCTCCATTTCAAAGTCGAAGAGTCGGCGTTTTCTGTAGACACCTCCAAGGTCATGTGGCCAGCATGACTGCATGGAGTGTCGTTACTTTCCGGCCGAAGCGGTAACTATTGATCTAGTCACATTTGCATGTTTTCAAACTACTAGATTGGCAGAAGCTGGGCCAAACAGTGAGAGCTCACCCCACTCCCCGGATTTGAACCGCCCACCTTTTGGTCAGCAAGTTCAGCAGCTTACCAGTTTAACCCACTGCACCACCAGAGGGACCTTAATCTGTTATTGACTTTCTTTCAAACATAACATGAATTACCGGAAATCTGATTCACAGATAAGCTCACTCAAGTATATTTTAAGCATTTATTAAGCAATCTAGCATATTTTTCACTTTACTTTATTTCCTCAATTTAAAAAAAAACTGAAACTGTAACATGAAAGACACTGCAGACCCACTCAACCAGAGAAGTCAGCCATAGAAGAGCACTTGATGAACCAACCTGGACATAGCATATTAGTTGGGAAAACAGAAATGCTGGACCACTCTAACAACCACCATGTCAGACTACACGGAGAAGCCATTGAAATCCACAAGCGTGTGGATGATTTCAACAGAAAGGAGGAAACCATGAAAATGAACAAAATCTGGCTACCAGTATAAAAACGCTAAAATCATAACAGTAAATAAAGAACAACACTAAAAAACAAGGGAATTTCAGACAAGAAACAATCAGGGACAGTTAATCACCTCCCAATAAAGGATTCCCCCAGGCAATGAGAAACCACACCTTGAAACTGCTGGGCCATTAAATGCTAAGCAAGGTGGCCAAATGAAACATTCACACCTACCTCGAACAGATAAGAGTTGTCTCACCCTGGACATTCTACAGATATATAAACCCCATTTTCCTAGTTTCAAACAGACCTCTAACCTCTGAGGATGCCTGCTATAGATGCAGGTGAAAGGTCAGGAGAGAATGCTTCTGGAACATGGCCATACAGCCCGGAAAACTCACAACAACCCACTGAAACTGGCTGCTTTGAGCTAAATTTGTTGCTACATCAATTGGACTAAATTCATTTGAAGTCTTGAAAGCTTTAAGAGAGGAGGATCATTCCCTATCCTTTTTCCACAAATATCTCCATTGAATCAAGTCGTTTTACAGCAACTCAAAACGGTATATTTGCAGAAGACTGTGGATATGTTACTTGATAAGGGATAAGGATTCTCTATTAAATGAGACCCACAATATAACAATATGAGAAAGCTGAAGTCTGGATTTTTTACATAACAAACAAAATACTAAACCTGTAGAAATCCGAGATGTTCTTGAATATTTTGTTTCTTTTCTATGATGAATGATTCAAAGTGCATCACTGCTCTTGTGTATGCTTTGGAGCGAAAGGAAGCTGCGGCCAACGTGTCTTGAGGTATGAGGTCAAGAAAGCGGACTACACTTTGGTACTCTCTATATTCTTCATTTGGTGCTGCACAACAAAGATTTCAAAGGATATACTTAATGCTAATTTGAAACATTTATAATTTTACCATTATTTTTTTAATCAAAATCAAAATACATTAAAATAAAATAAAGTTTAAAGTAGGAAGAAAACATGAAGACTTAGCATTCATTTGTTATAAAACAAGAAGAAAATGAAAGTGGGTTTTAAATAAATTCAAAAACATTGAGATTGAGAGATTTTCACAACCCCAGTGATTACTTCTATTTAAATTTACTTATGAAAGTAGCTTCCAGTGCAGCTGAAAAGGCAACCTTTTTCCATTTATCATTTTCCTTTGCTCCCCTCTTTTTGTAGGGATTTATGAACGGATACACAAAAAGTGCCATTGCAAAAACATCCAAAACAAAAGGGATTCACTAACCTTGTAGTTCAGTTACGTCCTTACTCGGCTTGATAGAAGCCTTATCAGCACTCAGTTTTTGGAATTTATATCTAGCCCACTGTGTCAGGTGATCAAGCATGGAGAAAACGGTCTGTGTGCTTAAATGGCTGAGATCTGATGCGCTATCCTCACATGGTCTTGAACTGGTATCATCGTTTTTAAGAACAGCCATGATTTCTGCATAAACCTGGATAGTGTTTAGAAAAACATAAAATTGTTGCTGCTATTATGAAAGCTGGCAAATTTTCAGCAGAGATTTAGGACAAGTTAACATGTTATCTGTGGTGAAACTGCTGGAAAAGGTAGCACTAACATATAAAGATGTACCATATATACTCAAGTATAAACTGACCCGAATATAAGCCAGGGCACATAATTTTACCACAAAAAACTGGTAAAACGTATTGACTTGAGTATAAGCCAAGGGTGGGAAATACAGCAGCTACTGGTAAATTTCAAAATAAAAATAGATACCAATAAAAGCACATTGAGTCATAAGTATTTTAAACGTTTTGGAATATTTACATAAAACTGTAATTTAAGATAAGACTGCCCAACTCTGATTAAACCATTATTCTAACCTTCTTAAATGTAAATGTGCTTACATATCCTTCCAATAATAATAGTATAAAATAATAAATGTAATAAAAATAATAACAGAGTAAAATAATAAATATAATAACAATGAATAGAGTAAAATAATAAATGTAATAATAATAATAGAGTAAAATAATAAATGTAATAAAATAATAATAAAATAAAACAATGTAAATGTAACAACAGCAATAGAGTAAGATAATAAATGTAATAAAATTAAAAACAATGATAGAGTAAAATAATAAATAACTATGACACGAGTATAAGCCGGGGGGGGGGGGGGAGAGGCTTTTTCCGCCTTAAATAAGGGCTTGGCCCTTTTTTTAGGCTGAAAAACTTGGCCTATGCTTGAGTATATACCATACTACCGAGTTCTCCAGACTCACAGTTCCAAAACTACAAAAGAAAAAACAAAAACTGGAAGGCTTAAATGAGCATTATGGGTTTCCATGTCATTGGGGAAAACATAACTCAAAGGATTCCAACATATTGTGTACATATATTGTGATCGCACAAACTACTTTAAAAGTTTGGTAAAAATCACTTCAATTGGGCTGAGATCTAGGGGCTTTGAGGAGTTTCTGGGGGATCCATGGGTCTTCACTTTGCTGTCCTGGGATAAACATGTGTACATTGTTTCCCTTCATTTTCAGAACAAATTCTCATATATTCTACAACAACAACAACAACACAACAACAACTTTATTCTCATATCCTGCCACCATCTCCCTGAAGGGACTTGGGACGGCTTAGAGACAGCACAAACATAAACATAAAAGTGAACACAATATAAAATACAATAAAATAAAACACATGTACATATAAAAACATCAATTCAGACTCAATCAAGCTGCAATCCTCTAACCATGGCAGTAAATTACTGTCATGATTTTCACTACACAGAGAAAGCTAGCCATCAATATGGCCATTGACAATACAGAGGAGGAGGAAGAACACTTAACTTCTTTGTAGCCTACCTTTTCCCCCAAGATCAATAACAACTTGAATTCCACTGATTCTACTTTAACTACGAACAGTGTAACCTGCTTCTGTGTGATTATCTTTAACTGGTTTTTCATTTTGACGTCTATTTTTATACAATAACTTCACTGTCATTATTATGTTTATTATACAGTGTTCCCTTGTGACTTTGTGGATCACTTTTCGCAGACTCGCTGTTTTGCGGTTTTAAAAATAAATATTAATGTACAATATTTACATTACATTATTTATGCGGTGGCGGGCAGCAAGTGGCTCCGCCTGGTGGCCAATGGACCTCAGAAAGGGAGGCTGGTTTGTGGGCCGGGCCTGAGGCGCTGCCACGAAAGTGGCTCTGGAGACGTTTATTGGGTGGACTCGCAGCAGAGTCGGGTAAGGAAGCATGAGGGCTAGACTGCGCATGTACACTTCTTATCTATGCCCGATGGAAGTGGAGCACTTTCTAAAAATTGCTGCTCAACTAAAGTGACTGAAGGATTTTGTTTATAATGTAAAGGAAAAGGTTTTCCCCTAAATATTGAAATAATGTTTAAATATTAAAATAAATATAACGTTCCTACTTTGTGGATTTTCACTTTTTGCGCGTGGTTCTGGAACGTAACACCCGTGGTAAGTAAGGGAACACTGTATCTGTATTGCATTATTGTAATTGTATTTTGAATTTTTCTGGGCACCGAATGTTTGCCTTCTTGTGTTATAAACCACCCTGCGTCCCCTCAGGGAAAGAGATGGAGGCCTATAAATAACATTTTATTATAACAACTAAATTTATGCCAATGGAACTCTATTAAGAGTTAGCATTTTGGTCAACAACTATGGATGTGTAACAGAAACGACAAAAAGAAATTTACAGATCTTGTACAATGATGTACTGGCCAATGACAGCAATGGAGGCACACTTTATGTTTTTTGGGACAGTAAACAGGGAAAGGGGCTCTCACCTCTTGCTGATCCTCTTGACTGCACCCCAAAAGGACATAAACAAGGATATGGGGAAGGAGATAGATGGTCACCTTGAAGTCGTTCTTCATCATAATACTGCAACAGTTGAAAACCTTACTGGCAAGATCATGTCGCACCTGCAGTAGTAACTATACGTCAATCTAAGTTTATTTCGACAGATAAAATCAATATAACTAGCATTAATGTTGAAAACGAATTGATCAATAATATGCAATCATTACTCTTACCTTAGTTGCAAGGTAACCAGCCCAGGTTGCTGACCATTCTGCAAATCTTTTGCCTAATTTGCTCAAGTAAATAGGCTTTTTAACCTTGGACCAGTTTACAGCTTTCTGATAACTCTTGTATCTAGAAATGTAATTTTCAAAAATTGTTAACAATTTTATTTACTATTTGAAAAGGTGGCTGTATCATAGTTCTATTCTTTCTTTAAGAAATCCGAAAGACTTTATCACTGAGTGATTTGTTGGTTTGTCACACATCTTAGTAAAAATGCCAATATAGCTTGTCAAAAAAATCCTGTTTCACACAATCATAATAAATGGAAGATAACAAAAATGCACATGCATAGCTTGCAGAGTGATATAACTTTTAAATCCAATTAAAAGACTGAATTTATTTTTTACTACTGTTTACCTTGTATTTAAATGAGGTTCCAATATTTCTTGAATATGATCAGGAAACATTTTCCAAAGGCTGGAGCCTGAGCAGTCGGTAGTTGTCTCCCTACAACCATAGATGCATAGCAACTCCTTAGATAGAAAAGAAAAAAAAGGATTACATAAAGATATTAAATGGCATTTGTGCTTTGTACACTAAAAGACTTCATTAAAAGTAAGATTTTTTGAGATAAGATCAGCAAATCACTACAAGGGGTAGGGGAATAAAATCTGTGGATCATTAAGGAAAAAAGAGACTATGCAGCATTAGTTATAGTCTTTTCTCAAACATTCGTATACAAGTTGAATATTCCCTATCCAAAATGCTTGGGAGAAGAAATGCTTTTCATTTTTTTAATTCACTGATACCAAACCATTGCTCATTGACCCTATGTAGCACGGTTTTTGTTCCTGAGTAATAAATGTCATTTCCTACTTAGTTCTATCAGAAAAACATGGGAAAAGTTTATTAAACTGCAAAAACACTTTGTTTTTGTGGGACATCCTGCAGCACATTTGCTATAGTTTTTCAATGAATATCTCATCAAATCTCAATCAATTTAATATAATTTGTGCCAGCCACAAAAACAAAGTTTCTGGAGTATAACAACTACTTTCAAACTATGTACCACACAATCAAACAGGAAATAACAATTTCAAACCAGGAACAGAAAATCTTTCAAATTTTGGCTACTTTTCATTATCTGGGCGGAGGCCAGTGGGGGGGTGCTAGAGAGAGAAGGATATTTCATTTTATGGGGGTGGAGAGTGAGTTGAAGGAGTAAAACCATTTCCCCCTGTTTTTCTGTTATTCCACCCATCCTGGTCCCCGACATGGAATCAACCCTTGTTTATGATATGGAAAGGGGGAATAACCAGTGAAAACGGGGGAAATGGTTTTCCTCTTTCAACTCCCTCCTGCACAGAAAATGAAGTATCCTTTTCTCTCTAGTGGTCCCTGCCTGGATAATGTAACAGTGCCAAGTTTTGTTATATAGTGGTGTGGTGGCACAGCGGGTTAAAGCACTGAGCTGCTGAACTTGCTGACCGAAAGGTCAGCAGTTCGAATCCGGGGAGTGGGGTGAGCTCCCACTGTTAGCCCCAGCTTCTGCCATCCTAGTAGTTCGAAAACATGCAAATGAGTAGATCAATAGGTACCGCTTTTGCGGGAAGGTAATGGCGCTCCATACAATCATGCTGGCCACATGACCTTGGAAGTGTCTATGGACAACACGGCCCTTCGGCTTAGATATGGAGATGAGCACCACCCCTCAGAGTCGGACACGACTGGACTTAATGTCAGGGAAAACCTTTATCTTAGTGTAATTTGAGTGAATAACCAAGCTTTAACTTGGCACTGAAATGAGACAACAAAGTGTAATTAGGATGCTACCACAAAGAAGGCCTGTCCACCTTGTCTACACAGAAAGGGTTTAATCTCACTAGTGAGGTACAGAGAAGAGATGAGATAATGTAAGCTCTTCAGTAAAATTAAGTCAACATTTAAACAGGACCGTCACCAAGCAATAAAAGAGTTCAGGCAGAGATTACATTCTTTTGTTGTTTTTAATGGTTTGGAATTTAAAATGTGGCTTTTATTGTTTTAATTATTGATATTTTTAAAATTTATTATGTCACACCTTAAAAGCTTTTTCTTAAAGTAGAAAGATTAAGCCAATCCTACCTGAATAGCGTATGAAGCAGAATCTTGAGCCCGAACATTATCAGCATATGCAAGGAAAGCTCTTGTCAGCTCCATGAATAATCCGTGGGCAAAATGTGGATCTTCTACACCAGTCTAATGAAATGCAAGTTAAATTCATTAGATCATCAGATCAATTTTGTTAATATCCTCAGTTTTGTTACTATTAAAGCCTAGTATAATTGGAAAATAGGCATGGAAAGGCTTGGGTTCTCCAGAGGCAATAATGTTTGCAATGGTGTTCAGCCAAAGCATTATCACACCTTAACAAGACAGCAACTTCCCACTTCCCTTTCATGTGATCAGTCACATATAGCATAAACATTAGAATGTAGGTGAGACAAAGACTTGTGCTTATTTTATTCCTTACTATATAGATTTTTATCCTCCATTTTTAAAAAAACCAAAACTACAGAATTAAATACATTCTATTAACATTCCTTACCACAAATGTCAGGCCTTTTCCTTGACTGTCACTTGTTGAGAAATCCAACCTGCCTGGATCTATGGCTCCCAATTCACCTAAACATTCCCCACACAGCAGCCGTGCATGAGAATTCACATCCTGGCAGCCAATCAGAAGGACAGTCACCAGCTGAGAAATAACTGGCTCAACTGTTTCACTATCTGTTGCATACTTTATCAGTTTCTCCTAAGAAAAGAAAATCAGAAAGAAGTAAATAAGCATATTTTATGTTCCAGTGTTTTACCATTCATGTCAGTCTTTTGTACAGTGCAGTGTCACAAGTAAAATAATAAAATAAATTGTAGAAGTGGTATGAGCAGATGTGTCTTCGTGTAACAGGACTTTTCCCTCCTTTCCTCACTCTTTCACCCATAGGTCCCTGAGCTCTCTTCTCCAGAGGATCCCTTAAACAGATTTATTTCACTGCTGAAAAGGATTACCATATATTCCGATATATAAAACAACTGGTCATATAAGACGACCTCCAACTTTTCCAGTTAAAATATAGCTTGGGATATACTCGCCATATAAGACTATCCTCTTCCAACACACACCAAATAAAAAAAACAGGTTTGATTTCAATTTGGCAATTTTCCTATTACTGTACCTCCTTCTCTGCCTCTCAGATCATAGAATCATAGAATCATAGAATCAAAGAGTTGGAAGAGACCTCATGGGCCATCCAGTCCAACCCCCTGCCAAGAAGCAGGAATATTGCATTTAAATCATCCCCTGACAGATGGCCATCCAGCCTCTGTTTAAAAGCTTCCAAAGAAGGAGCCTCCACCACACTCCGGGGCAGAGAGTTCCACTGCTGAACGGCTCTCACAGTCAGGAAGTTCTTCCTCATGTTCAGATGGAATCTCCTCTCTTGTAGTTTGAAGCCATTGTTCTGCGTCCTAGTCTCCAAGGAAGCAGAAAACAAGCTTGCTCCCTCCTCCCTGTGGCTTCCTCTCACATATTTATACATGGCTATCATATCTCCTCTCAGCCTTCTCTTCTTCAGGCTAAACATGCCCAGCTCCTTAAGCCGTCTCCTCATAGGGCTTGTTCTCCAGACCCTTGATCATTTTAGTCGCCCTCCTCTGGACACATTCCAGCTTGTCAATATCTCTCTTCAATTGTGGTGCCCAGAATTGGACACAATATTCCAGATGTGGTCTAACCAAAGCAGAATAGAGGGGTAGCATGATTTCCCTGGATCTAGACACTATGCTCCTATTGATGCAGGCCAAAATCCCATTGGCTTTTTTTGCCGCCACATCACATTGTTGGCTCATGTTTAACTTGTTGTCCACGAGGACTCCAAGATCTTTTTCACACGTACTGCTCTCGAGCCAGGCGTCACCCATTCTGTATCTTTGCATTTCATTTTTTCTGCCAAAGTGGAGTATCTTGCATTTGTCACTGTTGAACTTCATTTTGTTAGTTTTGGCCCATCTCTCTAATCTGTCAAGATCGTTTTGAATCCTGCTCCTGTCCTCTGGACTATTGGCTATCCCTCCCAATTTGGTGTCGTCTGCAAACTTGATAATCATGCCTTCTAGCCCTTCATCTAAGTCATTAATAAAGATGTTGAACAGGACCGGGCCCAGGACGGAACCCTGAGGCACTCCACTTGTCACTTCTTTCCAAGATGAAGAGGAAGCATTAGTGAGCACCCTCTGGGTTCGTCCACTTAACCAATTACAGATCCACCTCACCGTAGTTTTGCCTAGCCCACATTGGACTAGTTTCCTTGCCAGAAGGTCATGGGGGACCTTGTCAAAGGCCTTACTGAAATCCAGGTACGCTACATCCACGGCATTCCCCGCATCTACCCAGCTTGTAGCTCTATCGAAGAAAGAGATCAGATTAGTCTGGCATGACTTGTTTTTGATAAATCCATGTTGACTATTAGCGATGACTGCATTTGTTTCTAAGTGTTTGCAGACCGCTTCCTTAACAATCTTTTCCAGAATCTTGCCCGGTATCGACGTGAGGCTGACTGGACGGTAGTTGTTTGGGTCATCCTTTTTTCCCTTCTTGAAGATTGGGACCACATTGGCCCTCCTACAATCTGCTGGAACTTCTCCCGTTCTCCAAGAACTCTCAAAGATGGTTGCCAATGGTTCCGAAATGACTTCCGCTAGTTCCTTCAATACTCTGGGGTGTAGTTGATCTGGCCCTGGGGACTTGAACTCATTAAGAGTGGCCAGGTATTCCTGGACGACTTCTTTCCCAATTTGGGGTTGGATGTCCTCCAATCCCTCATCCACTCCATCTTGCTGAGGTTGAAGACTCTCTTTTTGTGAGAAGACCGCACATGCGCAACTGCACCACTTCACTGCAATCTTCAGGAGCGAGATTTGAGAGGCAGAGGAGGAGGTACAGTAATAGGATACAAGGGTGGGCCAGACAGGTAAAAAAGGTGTGTTTTTCTGGGCCCAGAGCCACTCTATCTCTCTTTTTCCATACCCCGGGCGCCCCAGATGCCTGCAGCTTGCTCCGCCCTTCACTTACACCTTCCCAGTGAGGCGTCCCTTCACCTTACCATCGGGACCGCATTAAGTCCACGAATCCTGATGAATGGATTTTCTTCTACCATACTTATACAGTGTCACCCTTAATGCTTTCATACAGTCGCTGCATACGGCAGGGATGCGGCCACTGCCATTTTTGAGCTCCCCCCACAATATGCAGCAACCACAGGTTCTCCAATCCGCATTGGAAGTTTTGGTATCCACTCTATAAAACAACTCCTGGCATATAAGACTACTCCCACATATAAGACGACTCCCATGCATAAGGCTACTCCAGCGTATAAGAGTACTCCCGTGTATAAGACGACCTCTGACTTTTGAGAAGATTTTCTTGGGTTAAAAAGTAGTCTTATACACCAGAATATATGGTAAGTAAGTAAATAAAGTAACTGCTTTGGGAGATGGTGATCGGGCATTCAGACAACATGTTCAGTTCTCATCAGCTCACATAACCCATTTTCAAAAATGATGAAAATATAGTTCAACATCTAAAGTTCTCAATTTCTGCCTTACAATGTGTCTGATGTTGTGACATGCTGTTTTGGGTCATCTTATTATGTCATATTGGTTGTCAGTAGCAGAATGCAGTATAAAAGGCTGTAATGGTAAGGGAAGAGAATACTTAATGATCTGCACGGATTTTTCGCTGGTAGTTGAGCAAGAAATGTACTGTGGGCTTTGTAGAAATAACAGATTTGAGACAGCAGATGATGGAGGACATTGGTGAAATGTCCAATATTCTATGTTGTCTATGTTTGATATTTTATAGTTCACTGGTTTTAATCTATTGTTATATGCTATTTTAGTTATGTGCTTTATTTTATATTTTGTGAGGCATTGAATTTTGCCATGTACTTTGTTGTGAACTGCTTTGAGTCCCCCATGGGATTGAGAAAAACGATATATAAATGAAATAAATAAATAATAAATAAATATCTGAGAATCTGAAAGTCTGGGAGGTCAGTGCCAGGGCTGTCTCGGAAATAGCCTGAACTGATACAAGTCAGCCTCTTACGTTCATTACTTTCAATTTCTAAAGAGTTTTGTGCTCTCCAGGATCTCAAAGTGCCACACTTTCTCTTCAGGCTTTGTTTATTTATAACTTAGTAATTCACATATTTCAAATGTTTTTACCATCACAGTTGCAGACAGAGCTTGTATACTCAAACTTGGGCTTTTGACAATAATAATAATAATAATAATAATAATAATAATAATCTTTATTTATACCTCACCACCATCTCCCCAAACTTGGGCTTTTGATGATGATGGTAATAATAATAATAATAATAATAATAATAATACTTTATTTATACCCCACCACCATCTCCCCAAGGGACTCGGAGCGGCTTACATGAGGCAAAGCCCAACAACACATCAATAAAAACAACAATAAGCAAAATAAACAATACAATTAGTATAACTTTTGATTAACAAAACTGGGAAAATATCCGCTTTGAGAGCAGCTGCCGCAAAGAAAAGATAGTTCAAGGATGAATAGGTAAGCAGTGGAAGAGGCCCAAACATTAGAAAAGTTCCCTCTTATCCAGGCAAATCAGTGTCAATTCAAAAGGAAGCAGAGACTTCAAACATAATGATTTGCATTAGAGGATGTGTGTGGGGAAGCTCCCTATTGTCCACAAATTACCCTGTAATTAAGTGCACGTGTGCCATTAAGATGGAATTAAGAAACAGATACTTTTAAAAGACAGGGAGAAAGAATGCACCACATACAAATCTGTCTTCTCTCATCAGGCTGACATTGAAACGACAAGCTCACTTACTGCATGACAGGTAACTGAATATCACATAATTTATCTAGCATGGATCACCTTTCTCAGCAATGCAGACAAGAGAAAAGGAAGAAATAAGTCAGCAAAGCACAAGAATACAGAAACGAGTGCTGTGAATCCTTTTATAAAACAGAAATACAATCTCTCTTTTCATGTTGGTAGTGACAGAGTTCTATTCTAATAAAGATCAGCTGGAAGGCGAAAAAGGCTTACCAGTATCAGAAACACAATACAGGTATTTAACACTCTGGAGAAAACATTTTTATACATATTTCATTCTAAAATCAAAGGGATGTTGTGAATTCAAAGATTAATTCATATAGGTTGCTACTAACTGTAAGAGAAAAAGTACTAGTAATATCAAAAGCCAGTGTACCATTTACTCCTGCTGGGTCAAATTATATAAATTGAATTAAATTAAAACTTTCATTTTCATGAAGGCTACCTGGCATATAAACTCTGAGCTTCAGTTTTACATACTTGATTTTTATATAAAGTTTCCTTGAGGCTGGTGAGAGCATGAATTCGAACATCTACATTCTCATGTTGAATAGCTTTCATGGAAAGCTGAAGGGTTGTTTGCAAATCAGTGCTTTTGGATGTCTCCTAAGGGGAACAAGAACACACAGATATGCATTCTGGGTACTCCAGTTCATTGCTCAATGCACCAAAACAGTAGCTTGTGTAAAGAAAATCTCTCGGCTCCAGAGATGGCTGAATGTTCTTAACTGAACAACTTATGAAACGTGATTGTGCCAGAAGAAATCCAATGCATGCTTTCATTCAACATTACCAGTTAAGTTTGGGGGGGGGGGGGTATCATCGACATTATATTTGCAACGAATCTTATCTGTTCTTAGTTCTAGCCCAAATATTTGTACACTTTTCCAAGTATCCTGCCAAACATTTCAAATTAAAATGTGTATCTGATTGATGACACAGCATAGTTTACAAAAGCATTTATATCAGTGTTAGGTATTAGCACCAACATGCATGCCCTTACTCTCTGTTATTGCTACAGTTTTTTTCCCCTGCCTTTCCTCTTATGACCTTGGATGCTATATATACACTTTCCCCTTTCTCGTCCAAGCCACCCTAATATGTTAGGTAGACTGGAATTAACCTAAGGACTCCAAATAAAGTTTTTGCAGAAATATAACTCCTGTTTTAACAATCTAATTTATTAACGATATTGCAATTTGTGTTTTCAGCAGCCAATACATTGTACATAATATGATCAAAAAATAAATAAATAAACAATTATAGACTACTACTATTAAATAGGAAACAAGAAGTGTGAAAGAACCAAAATATTTTCCCTATAATTTTATTACAAATCTGAGCACTAATGCTCACTGCAAGCTTATAAAAAAAGGTTTCTCCTGACGTGAAATCTTGTCATGTCTAACTCTGGGAGGTGGTGCTCATCTCCATTTCTAAGCTCAAGAGCCTGCATTGTTTGTAGACACCTCCAAGGCCATGTGGCTTGCATGACTGCATGAAGCACAGTTACCTTCCCACCAAAGTGGTACCTATTGATTTACTCACATTTGCATGTTTTCAAATTGCTAGGTTGGCAGGAGCTGGGGATAACACTGGGAGCTCATCCCACTCCCCAGATTTGAATCGCCAACCTTTAGGTCAAGCAAGTTCAGCAGTTTAATAGTTTAACCTGTTGTGCCACCAGGGGGCCCTCACAAGCTTATATAGTAAACTAAAAGTCCTACAGAATGTCATACCCAATCGTCCATTTTCAACTTTTTTAACATATAAAAATATAATTTAAAATATACCTTTCTATATTCCTGAAGAACAATTTGAATTTCTTTCAGTTCAGGATGATTTGGTAGAAAATATATTTCATGAAGGAAATCTTGTACTGCATCTCTAACCAACAAAAGAAAAACACATTTGCAAACACAGACACTTCTTTTTTAGATTAAATTCTCATTATAGTTCAATAATAGAGAAAAAAAACCAAACTGAAGTGAAATGCACAGAGGATGATGTATCCAGAAGCTGGAAAGATTTAAAATGGAGCAACAGTTTCCACTGCAGAAATCCATATCCATTCTGAAATTAGGAGGCTCTATTGCTCTTGCCAGGATTATACAGGATTTATTTTGTACTAGCTGTCCCCTGCTACGCGTTGCTGTGGCCCTGTCTGTGTATATGTGTATATATATTTGTGTATATGCTTGTGTATATATATGTAGTTCTGTGCATGCGTTGTAATGTTGTTGTTGGGGTTTTTTTTTGCTTTTTAAGTCTGTTCCGCTGTATTCCTGTGTTTTTATGAGTGATGGTCACTCGTTGGCCTGAGAGGTGTATTGTGTCCAAATTTGGTGTCAATTGGCCCTGTGGTTTTTCAGTTATGTTAATCCCACAAACGAACATTACATTTTTATTTATATAGATAGTATATTCAGGTCTAAACCAAATTTCTCATATGAATGAATGAGCAATGTGTTGTTTTTGTTGTTGCCTGAAAAAGTTTTTTTAAAATATTATGTTGAAACAGAAATCAACTGTTGTGATTAGTCTACACCACATAAATTTCATAGCAAATATTTCCATCACTCTTCAAAGAATGCCCGAAATATTTGCTCGTGTGATAGAAAAAAAGGGAGAGGGGATGCAATACAGGTATTTAACAGTATTTGGAAACTGTATGCCCAACCTTTTTGTTTAAACATTAAATCCATAAACCATTAATATAACATGGTTCATATTATAATACCTGTTTTCAACTATAAGAAAATGGAAAACTGCTGCTGTTTCTTTTGGCTGAATATGTATGAGGGGCAATAGAGCCACTATCACATGACTGAGAAGGGAGCCAAGATGAATCTGGTCCAAGCATCTGACGAAGCAGTCCCAAGATCTAAATAATGGAAAAGAAAAAAAACAGATAATTCATCATATGCTACATTAGAACATGATTAGAACATTTTGAAATCACAAAATGACAGTACCAGAATTATTTAATTTTAGAACTGTGTAGATTCACTAGACAGCCCAATACAGCACAGAAATGTAATGACAAATCATTTTCTTACTTGCAGCACAGCTCTGGGAAATCATCCTTGTATCTCAGTCCAGTCCTGAGTGTTGTCATCATCTTCACTCTTACGGCACTTATGTGTTTTGGACCCATAAGCTTCATTAAAGCCATCAAACTATTTAAGGCCTAAAATTGAAAAACCACAAACTGCTTGAAACATCCATCAAGTTGAATGGCAGAGTGATTATGGTTAACAGATTTTTATGGCTAACAGATCTGAAAGTGCTAGAAACCTATTTCTATGTGGCTCTAAAAATTAACACTTCTTTTTTAATTGTAGGTGTTATCCTTGTGTTAAATGACTATCTACTTGGGGAACTTATGTCGTTGTTCATTCGCTCAGTCACTTCAGACTTTTGGTGACCTCATGGACAAGCCCACGCCAGAGCTCCCTCTCGGCCGTCACCACCCCCAGCTCCTTCAAGGTCAAGCCAGTCACTTCAAGGATATCATCCATCCATCTTGCCCTTGATTGGCCCCTCTTCCTTTTTCCTTCCATTTTCCCCAGCATCATTGTCTTCTCTAAGCTTTCCTGTCTTCTCATGATGTGGCCAAAATACTTCATCTTTGCCTCTTATACAGTGGCCTTAATGTTCTCTCTGTTGATTTAATAAAGAGACCTATCCCATTACATAAGTCTAACACAACTACTCCACTTTAATGCCATGGCAACTTTGCAAGGAATCCTGGGATTTGCAGTTCATAGAGGAATACTTAGAACTCTCAGCCAGAGCGCTCTAGCACTTCATTTTTTCTTGCGTTCCTTCAAGTAATTTCTGACTTATGGTGACCTTACGGTGAATGTATCACAAGGTTTTCTTGACATGACTTGTTCAAAGAGGGTTTACTTTTGGCCTCCTTTGAGGCTGAGAGAAAACCAATTGCTCAATGTCGCCCAATGGGTTTCAAACAGCGGTCTCCTAGTCCAACATACTTACACTACACCAGCTCAGTTGTAGTACATCACCAAACTACAAAACTTAGCACTCCATAGAATGTAGCCATGACATTTAAAGTGAAATAATGGTGTTATTACTATGTAGTCTGATGGGACTCAAGGTCTATTATATAGCCCCAATTTTGTAAGAATGCTAAAGACACCAATTACTGCTTTGTGTTTAATAATGGCTCATTGGATAGCTTTGTGCATTGTGCTTTGTGCATTGTGTGTCAGCTACAATATGTGGGTGTTTCACACAAACATAACGAGAAAGCTCTGAGTTTATGTGAAACAAACGGTAAAAATGAAAGATTTTCATAACACGTGTTGTGTCCCCATAATTTTATTACAATGTATGTATGTGTCTGTTTCTCTTATAAGGAGTTGGTTTAGCCTCCAGTTTGCTGGCAAAACTGAATAACTGTGTTTCAAAATGATGTATGTTTAAAAAGGATGTCACCAGCATGAAATGTTCAGAAAACTCTGCTCTAGAGAATTTCTCAATGCTGCAAAAGATAAATATTTATACATTCAAACTTTGTTGTACAGAAACCAGTGAAAATCTAAGAAAAGAGGAACTTATGCTGATTCTTTGGGGCTCATATCTTTTTGGTATTAACTAGGATATTGTCTTACATTTCAGCTTTCAGTGTCACAAAGTTTCCGACACTAGACTTAAACTAAATGTTTATTCCGACCCATCCTGATTTATACGAGCAGGAGACAGAAAGAAGAAAAAATCCTGAAAAGCAAAAGCACGAAATGCTTTGACAGATTGTTGACTCACCATTTTCTTATCTTCAATTCCAACACTGGAGCTCAGTAACTGCATATTGAAGAAGGCCAAAATGCCTAGCAATCTTGGTTGTAGATAATCAGCCTAAATATTTATATAAAGGAATAATATTCTGAGATTCTTCGGAAATACTGTCAATAGTCCACAGTGCATTCAGGTTCTACTAACAGAAAACAGTTTAAGATACATTAAGAAACGTTCATCTCCACCTCATTTGGGCAATAGGAGGGATAGCAAACACTGGATATAGGGGGGGACTTCAATCTATAAGTATAATATCTGTAGCATTTACTCTGAAAAAAGTAAGGTTTTGATGATCTGCTGGTCCCTGTTCCCCAATAACTTCTTTGAATCACAGTAAGGTTGCTTTTAAGAATTCTCCATTTTACAAGCATAATCTGCTCAAGAAATATGAAAACATTCATAAAAATCACTCGTTATCACAATATACAGGGGAGCTAAGCAAAGTGTGGCCAATAATGTCAAATTTTATTTTCTTTTTTGTTAAAAAAGAAAAAAAAACCTTTTGCACCCTAATGCCATTTAGGAGGTGTGGGTTGCATTTCCACTATGAGGGGAGGGTTTTAGGAACTTCTGGAAGTATCAATTGATCATTTCTTGATTCAGAACAACAATAACAACAACAACAACAACAACAACAACAACATATTTTGTTTGTTACCTATTTCTCGTAACAGCTCAAGGCAGGGTACAACAAAATCAAAACATATCAACATAAAATACCTACCATAAAATACATACATATATCAAAGCACACAATTATTTTTTAAAAATGCACACCAAACACAGRGTACAAAGATCAAGATATAGAGGCAAAAGAATGCAATAAAAAGAACTCTCAGAGACTATAATGCTTCTGATGGTCTCAAAACATGGCAAAAAACTCCCCCCCCCCCCCACTGTAGTAGACATTTGGGAGGATTATGGGCAAAATAAAGTATTGTATTAACATTTAACTTGATTTGTTTTAATTATTTTTAGCTGGGAAATTTTGCTATACTACTTAATCCTTTTTAATGTTTGTATATTTGTATATTTTCAATGGCTATGCTGATGCTTTTATGTTAAGCTGCTTTGAGTCCCCTGTGGGGTAGATAAAGTGGGGTATAATAATAATAATAATAATAATAATAATAATAATTTTGCAAGGATAAAAAAAACTTCTTGTTAACTCATCATGTAGTCCCTTATCATCTCCAAGTTGCTGCCCTTAAACTCCTATATGTAGGAATCATAGTGAAAAACCTGTCACCTATACAAAGAACAGGCACAATTAGCAGCTCATTCATTCTGTTGATTTTCTTCATGATATTACTCCTACTTACCATTCGCTCAGAAGATGTGATGTCTTTGGGTCCTTGATATGGGTCATCATTAGAAGCAAAAGAAGCCAGAATTGCTAAACCATTGAAAACTTGTTGATAGTGTTCTCCCAAACGCAGCAATAATTCATTATGCAATCCTTGATAGTCTTGTCTCAGCAAACTTCCCAATTCTATCTCTGTTTCATTCTATAAATAGCATCAGTGGGGAAAATATTAATTGGTAATATGCACACATATTATATAGATGCATAACACAGAGAGATTGCAGGAGAGCAAGGGTGGGCAATTCTTCGGTGTTGTTGGACTGCAATCCAATTGTTCCCAATGCTGAGAGTTCATAGTAACTGCACTTCAACATCTGGAGAATGCCACAAGTTGGTCAACCAACAGGAGAGCTCTGCAACCCACGTTAAACATTAATTGGAACAGAGTAACAAACCATTGATCAATCAAATGAGAATATTCTAGTGTTACAGAAGAAAATCTGTTTCCAACATGAGTCAGTAATTTTTTTCATTTTCAATTAAACAATTCAGGGGTGCTGAATATTACGCTTGTCTTTCACGTTAAAGAACACAATATTATACGTACACCTAAAAGATTCAATATGCTTATAAACAAATACTTATCTTTGAAAATATCATGTTATTTATTTGTATTTTAATACAACCTACTGCTCAAGCCATCTCTCTGACCTAGCACTGTGCACAATGCTCAAAATTACCTTGAGATAGTGAAGTGCTCGCTCCAGCTCATCTTTGCTACAGAAGCAGACTAAATGAGAGAAGATGTATTTGAAGTTGTTGATGAGAATCTCTCTGCGGTTTACATTTAGCTGTTTTGCTATTGTCCGGATCAGCACAGAAGCTGCAGGACTAGCCTTGGCAGCAAGGTCAGGCAAAAGAACTTGGAGAATCCTCTGGCAAAATAAAGAGATAATTGCTGTTTTGAACGGTAACTTTCTTCAATTCATTCCAGTAAAACACACTTGTAAGGGAGGCTATTCATTGTGATGAAGAAGGGCGTGCTCTAACCCAACTTTCCCTAACATGGCATCCTCCAATGTATTGTATAGCAATTCCCATCAATTCGAGACACAAGGCCATAGGTAAAGGTTTTCCCCGACATTAAGTCTAGTCATGTCTGACTCTGGGGGGTGGTGCTCATCTCTATTTCTAAGCTGAAGAGCTGGTTTTGTCCACAGACACTTCCTAGATCATATGGTCAGCATGACTGCATGGAGCACCATTACCTTCCCGCAGAAGCGGTATCTATTGATTTACTCACATTTAGATGTTTTCGAACTGCTAGGTTGACAGAAGCTGGGGCTAACAGCGGGAGCTCACCCTGCTCCCCAGATTTGAACCGCTGACCTTTTGGTCAACAAGTTCAGCAGCTCAGCGGTTTAACTGCTGCATTTGCATGTTTTTGAAATGCTAGGTTGGCAGAAGCCGGGGCTAACAGCGGGAACTCACCTTGCTATCTGGATTTGAACTTTTTAGGTCAGCAGTTTGGGGGGCTTATGCTACTTGGTAACTATAGGAGCTGTAGTCTGACACATCTGGAGGGTACTAGTCTAAGGAAAGTGTGGTCTAAGGTTTTGGTCACAAAGAAAATACACTCAATTCAATTAACTACTTTTCAAAAACAGGGGAAAAAACTATGAAGAGGAAGCCTTTAAACTGCCTTGTAGTCAGTAAATTTTATTAGTCAATTTAGCCTCCACCCAAAAAATCACCCAATAAATCTGGACTATTTCTTTCTTTCTGAAACACTTCCTTAGCTTTTTCATATGGGGACACATGAATGGGAAACTTCTATGACCCTCGATTATCAATAGACCTGGTCAGATCTTGTGAAAGAAGGATTGTGGCTTCCTTGTCTACTTGCAATGTGGTCTTCTTCTTTTCTTCCTGTTTTTCACTTAACTAAGTATTACTGTTTTTCCTACTGAGCAACATCCCTCGTAACTTTTCTCCAGGAAATTTCAAATGAATTGATGTTCCGTAAAATCGTATGTGATTTGGAGTCTCTATCAGTTGCAACACTACTGTCAACAAAGCCTATTACCCCATGAAGGACAAAAAATATGATTCCCAGGTTAGTGCCTTAGCTAACTTTGCTTCATTCCTTTATTGCAAGCACATTTTTTCCAGTGTGGCTTAATTCTAGAAATAACTCAAGGCTAGGTGCTTCATGTAACACAGCATAGCACATTTGGGGTAGAAAAATGCTTAGGCCTTTTCAATTTTTAAAAAATATCATCCTTCTCACCTGAACGCAAATGGGTATAAACAATATGTGAATATGTTTTACGTCAAATTTTCCACTCCCTGTACTATATAGCTTGATCTTGACTTTTAAAATTGGTTTTACATGAAATTTGTAAACATTTCATGTAAAATATGGAAAAAATATGGGGAAAAAACCCAATTACTTATTCAGCAGATGGATGAAAGTTTCAAATCACAAAACATCTTTTAATGTCAGATATAAGAAGACTTCCTACATAAATCTGGAAGAAGCTCAAAAAACCAGGTTGTCAGGGAAAGGGACCTCAAGGGAAAGTCAGGCCCCATCTACACTGCCATATAAAATCCAGATTATCTTCTTTGGACTGGATTATATGTCAGTGTAGACTCATAATCCAGTTCAAAGCAGAAAATGTGGATTATCTGCTTTGAAAATCTGGATAATATGGCAGTGTAGACGAGGCCGCAGTCCTCCTCATAGATTTCTTTCCTCATGAGACTAACAGGTATAAGAACCCAACAGATCTTAAGAAATCAAAAATTTAGAAAGGTAAAGTTTCATTAATATTATTATTATTATTTATTTATTACTTCATTTGTTGACCGCCGCTCTCAGCCCTGGGGCGACTCGCGGCGGTGTACAACATGTAAAAAAACAGTCTACAAAACATACAATATATCAACAATCAAATTACACATTAATCTAATCACACTAATAAATCCGCGCTATCACAACAAGGAATCATAGCCAATCTCATAATCCATAGTCCGTTCCAAATGTCATTACCAGATTCGTGTGGCTCAATTAAATGCCTTCTCGAATAGCCAGGTCTTTAGGCTCTTACGAAAAGCCATCAGGGAGGGCGCCTGTCTGATGTTAACAGGGAGGGCGTTCCACAGCCGGGGGGCCACCACTGAGAAGGCCCTCTCTCTCGTCCCCGCCAGACGTGCCTGTGAGGCGGGCGGGATCGAGAGAAGGGCCTCCCCAGATGATCTCAAGGCCCTCGTGGGCTCATAGGCCGAGATGCGGTCCGAAAGGTATTTTGGGCCGGAACCGTTTAGGGCTTTGTAGGATAACACCAGCACCTTGAATTGGGCCCGGTAGCAAATCGGCAGCCAGTGGAGCTGGGACAACAAGGGCGTTGTGTGCTCCCTGCGTCCCGCTCCCGTTAGCAACATGGCTGCCGCGCGCTGGACTAGCTGAAGCTTCCGAGCCGTCTTCAAGGGCAGCCCCACGTAGAGAGCGTTGCAGTAGTCAAGGCGGGATGTGACCAGAGCGTGTACCACCGTGGCCAAGTCAGACTTCCCAAGATACGGGCGCAGCTGGCGCACGAGCCGAAGCTGTGCAAATGCTCCCCTGGTCACCCCTGAAACCAAGAATTCTTTGTTGTAAACTCAAAGACATGGAAATACTTGTCGTTACTCTGAAATAATAGTATTGCAAACTTACACTGAGAAAACGATTGAGGTCTGGAAAATCAAAAACATTGGCAATTTCAGATAACATGTCCAGAGCTGCCTCTCTCTGTTGGGCAATCTCTTGTTTCTGCATTTCACTGCTTTGGTACGGCGTGTTAGAAATCATTGCCAACTGACTGGAGTGTAGGGATTCCACTAAAAACTAAGGAGTGATAAATACATTTCACTGTAATTTCTGTCATTAAAAAGCAGACTCCAAAAGAAAGAAAAAAAGAAAGGAAGGAAGGAAGGAACGAACTTAGCATGAATCAATTCAGGGGGTACTGTGGTTTTTACTTTGAATATGCATTGAATATGTTTGAATGGTTTTTAACTGTGAATTGTTAAATACTCTTTGTATTTCATTCTGTTTTAATGTTTGTGTGTTTGTATATTTCAAATTGTGTGCTAATGCTTCTATATGAAGCCGCTCTCAGTTCCTATCGGGAGAGATAAAGTGGAGTATAAATACAAATAATAATAATAATAATAATAATAATAATAATAATAAAAAAAATACTGTGGGACTTTTGAATCCAGACTGACAAAGTTTTGGAACACAAGACACCAGACTGTACGATTGTGGAAAAGAAAAAAGTTTGGATTATTGATGTCGCCATACCAGGTGACAGTCGAATTGATGAAAAACAACATGAAAAACTCAGCCGTTATCAGGACCTCAAAATTGAACTGCAAAGGCTCTGATGTAAGCCACTGGGTGCTGTGCCAAAATATCTCAGCTGGCATTTGAAAACAATAAATATTGAAAAAATTACAATTTGTCAACTGCAAAAGGCCATCTTACTTGGATCTGTGTGCGTAATTAGAAAATACATCACACAATCTTAAACACTTGGGGAGTGATAGAAACACTTGGGATTTTGTGATAGAAAATCCAGCATATATATCTCGATTGCTGTGTCATATTGTGTTTTTCTGTCAGTATAATAATACAATACAAACAAACAAAAAAAAGGGGGGGGGGAGACGATTTCCAACTTATGGTTGTAACTGACCACTTCTGATACTTCCTCTAACTATATAAAAGCATACCCATACTGATTCGTCAAACCTACTACTCTTCAAATCTGAAGAGTGATGATTTTTTTAAAATGGAAAATAGCGCTCTGTTCACCAACAGCATTTATTCTTATAGATCTTTTTGGTAATTTGATTAATTCACTGGTGAGTAGTGGGAAAGCAGGCCAACTGAAACCACAACCGCCAGCTCTTATCAACTAACCCTTCATTACTCAAAACTGCATAAAAATTCAGGAGAGTAAGCAGAGAGAAAGCAGTGAAAGACAAATAACAACACAGCCCAAAGGAAATCAACTGTTCTTATGTTTCTAGTCACAAAACACAATAGATACTATAGCTCAGGACTGCTGTTTAACAAATAGATGGAGAAAGGTGAGGAACAGGCAGATGAACTGTAGCATTAACTAAGCTAATGAAGACAGATTACAAAGCTTTTATTACCAGAATAATCTAAACAAATGCCACTTTAAGTTGCAAGAGAGAGAGAGAGAAAAGTCTTTATTAAAGAGACATTTCAGAGACCCGAAACACCCCAATAATCAAGGCCCAATGTTGTCAGTAATTCTTACCTGACAGATGGGTTTCTTGTATTGACTGAAAAAGGCCTGCAGCTTCAAAGACTTGGCAGCAGCCAGACCCCTGATTTCTGTATGAGCCGCTCCAGCCACAGAAGCCGACTTGGACAGTAAGCAATGAAGCAAGTGCAAAAGTGCAAAGGGTACCAAATCCCCTTTTGCTGCCCTGAAAGGGGGGGGGGGGAGCCCCAGACATTATTAGAAATAATATTACATCACAAGACAATTTATGCAAAAAACAGAATAGGGAAATTTCCTTCTCCATTTAGTCTATTCAGCAATTACACTTCCATTGTCTTCTTAATGAAAACTACTCCACAATTCAGAATTTTGCATGAAAGCCTCCGGAAGATGACTTACAGAACCCAGAATGTACAACGTATTAGCAACGTACCTCCCAATATCCCCTGTTGTGAGAATCAGTGTATCCTTCAGATCATTATTTCGTGATATTTTAGCATTTGTATAGGCCTCTTTCATTCTGGAAACAAGGAGCTGAAACAAGAAAAGAAACAAAATTGTTGTATTAATGTCCCAAAACAGCACTTTTTTAAACAGATTTCACTATAGCTAAGTAATTCACCTCTTTAATGAATCCTTCCTCAGAGCCTGAAGATTCCAATATGTACTTGATGCAGCCACTAAAGGCCACTCTGACATCTCTGTCTGGATCTTCCATTAGCTTTAAGAAAGCCTCAACAACAGCTTTCACATTTAGCCCACCTTTTTCGAAGTCCAGGTGTTTGCAAAACAGGGGAATGTTCTTTATTAAAACTAGAAGAGAAGATTCAACAGCAATATATTCAATATTGTTGGAATACGACCAATATCCATATGAAACAGTGCAACACTATATTTATAAAAATGAAAATCTTTCTTTAAACTTCAGGCTCACTTCAAATTATAGACAAATAATATCTAATATAGACAAATAATATCTAATATTTAGTTGCCCAGCTAGATTTCGCTAAAAAAAATGGAAGGACAAAGCTGATAGCTTTTTATTCGCAAAAGGACAGTTATAAGGTAAAGAGAAGCACCATGCATTTTCCCTCACAATGAGTTATGGAAAAGGATAGAAAGAACCCCAGAGCCCCAAAAGCTAGATAGCACCTTCTGACTATTCTTTCTTTTTTTTTCTTTCTGCTTTTGAAGTTTTTTTCCTCCAAAAAGTTAGATATAGCTACAAAAAGTACAATTAGAGAAAAACAAAATAGTTTCATCATTATGGTAACAAACTTTCCCTCTATGAAATCCTAAAAATACTAGTCTTGGTGCAAAGTTCAAATTTATTAAATCTACAAAATGTCATTCAAAAATGATCTCTGCAAAAAAATATGTATTTCCTCGACTCACATAAAACAGCACTGGCTGCATAAAATAAACCACCTATGCCATAAAATCATGGACTCTATGTAGCAGGCATGGGCAACAATAATTAAAATGAAGAACAATTTTAACAAATATAAACTTATTAGTATTTCAATGGAAAGTGTGGCCCTGCCTTTGGCTGATGAAAAAGGATTGTTGTTGTTGTGTGCTTTTCAAGTCCTTCCAGACTTAGGCTGACCCTGAGCAAGGGTCGGGTAAATGACCTTGGAGGGCCGTATCCGGCCCCAGGGCCTTAGTTTGGGAACCCCTGCTATAACATTTTATTACAGGTTCCACTTGACATGTAAGTAAAAACACCAATATAGATTTAAAACTTACCGAGTTTCACTTTACTTGCTATGTTGACTTCAAGTAGATATAAAAATGGCTTAAACACATCAGCTTTCACTGCACACATTTCCTCACCAGAAGAAGTCACAGTAAGACTGTTACAGAGGATGCCATTACTTTTGGGCTGCATGTCAGGTTGAATCACATCAGGCTTTAAATGCAAGTTCCCAGAAAGAGAGCAAGCCAAGTTTCCAATGATACCGGCATAAGCTTGCTGGACTAGCAGGGATTCATCCTTGATGTTGTCTCTAAATTAAAAAAACAAAACCAAAACAACTAAGTGAATAAGTTTTCTACAGTTTATGGTAATAATACTTTTCTGTTCCTGGTTTGAAAGTGTTATTTCTTGTTTAATTGTGTAGTGCTTGCTTTGAAAGTTTGTTTTTGTGGCTGCCATAAACTATGTTGAATGGGTTGAGACTCTATCAGATATTCATTGAAAACCTATAGCAAAATGTGCTGCAGGATGTCCCACAAAAACAGTTTTTGCAGTTTAATAAACCTTTTCCATCTTTTTCTGATAGAACCAATTAGGAAATGACATTTATAACCCAGGAACACAAATCATGGTACACGGTGTAATAGGCAGCTATCATTAACTGCAGTTGTTGAAGAACGAGGCCCTATCTCTACTCATTTTTCTCCTTGTTAGGAGTGACTTGGGAAACTACAAGTCACTTCTGGTGTGAGAGAATATGCCATCTGCAAGGATATTGCCCAGGGGACGCCCAAATGTTTTACCATCCCATGGGAGGCTTCTCTCATGTTCATGCATCGGAAGCTGGAGCTGACAGATGGGAGCTCACCCCACTCCCCAGATTCAAGCCGCCAACCTTTTGGTCAGTAGTCCTGCTGGCACAAGGGTTTAACCCACTGCAACACCGGGGACTCAATTATACGAAGGTATGAATGAAAGTGGCTGCATGTGCAAAGAGGTAATAGGATAGGAACCTTCAAATATTGGAAGCATAGTCATGCAGAAGACAAAGCAAATTATTTCTCTTCTAGCCCTGAGGATAGGATCAAAACCAAAAGATTTAAAGCACCAGAAAGAAAATTCTAACTAAACTTTTGATAGTTTGAAACTCATGATAGTCATAGTTGTTCAATAGTGAACTGGACTATATTGGGAAATGGTAAACTCCCCTCGTTTGGATTTTAACTGTGGGTTGCTACATGGAGACTGTTGGTTCCTTCTAACCCTACTGTTCTATGAGTCCAAATGGATATAGAAATACTGTCTATTTTGGCTGCTTAAGACAAGATTTGCCAGTACATATTGCCTGATGTAGCACTTTTAAATTTACAATTACCATATACACTCGAGTGTAAGCTGAGTTTTTCAGCCCCTTTTTGGGCTGAAAAAGCCCCCCTCAGCTTATACTTGAGTCAAAGTTATTTATTATTATTTATAATATTACATTGGTTATTTTACTTTATTATGATTATTTATTTTATTCTATTATTATTATTATTATTACATTTATTATTTTACTCTCTTTATTATTATTGGAAGGATACATAAGTACATTTACATTGAAGAAGGTTAGAATAATGGTCTAATCAGAGTTGGACAGTCTTATCTTAAACTAGCCGTCCCCTGCCACGCGTTGCTGTGGCCCACTCTGGTGGTCATGGGGGTTCTGTGTGGGAGGTTTGACCCAATTCTATTGTTGGTGGGATTCAGAATGCTCTGTGAATGTAGGTGAACTACAAATCCCAGCAACTACAACTCCCAAATGTCAAGATTCTATTTTCCCCAAACTCCACCAGTGTTCACATTTGGGCATATTGAGTATTTGTGTAGTTTGGTCCAGATCCATCATTGTTTAGTCCACAGTGCTCGCTGGATGTAGGTGAACTACAACTCCAAAACCAAAGAACACTGCCCACCAAACCCTTCCAGTATTTTCTGTTGGTCATGGGAGAACTGTGTGCCAAGTTTGGTTCAATTCCATTGTTGATGGGGTTCAGAATGCTCTTTGATTGTAGGTGAACTATAAATCCCAGCAACTACAACTCTCAAATGACAAAATCTTTTTTTTGAGTGAAGGACATACATTGGGTTGTTAGGTGTCTTGTGTTCAAATTTGGTGTCCATTCGTCCAGTGGTTTTTGAGTTATGTTAATCCCACAAACGAACATTACATTTTTATTTATATAGATTACAGTTTTATGTAAATACTCAAAAACATTTAACCTACCGGTGCCTTAATTAATGCAATTTTATTGGTTTATATATATTTGACATTGCCCAATAGCTGCTGCATTTCCCACCCTCGGCTTATACTCAAATCAATACATTTTCCCAGTTTTTGTGGTAAAATTAAATGCCTTGGCTTATATTCGGGTTGGCTTATACTCGAGTATATATGGCAATTTGTGTCTTGCCGCATTTTAAAATATCATCCTAATGCTTGACAAAGAACATTCCTCTTCCAACTTTCAAACCGTAAACAACTTCAGATATTACCTCCCCTATGCAATCCAATCTAAGAACAGATGTTAAGTTAAATTACATTTGCTGGACTACTCTGCCCTTCCCACATTACTATAAGAAATTGGTGAAAAAAGAGACCCTATCTCTCAGATAACACATGGCAAATAATCCATCATGAGGGAAGCAATAGCAGACAGGCTAGATACTCTGGTAGACAGTAGTGTAAGTCCAGCAGGCAACATACATGATTTTCAACATATATTTTAGTATAACCTGAACCCAAATGTCTCAGTAAGCCTAACAAAGAGCTAAGATCCAATCAGTTGCTCCCTTGTACTTCAGAACCAGAAACACATAAGAGGAAAGCAATACTAAAACATTTATTTTACAAATTTCTACGACATTTACTACTGCTAAATACTCTTCTCTACAGAAAATTAGCTTATAATACTCAAGTACTACGTACAGGAGAGGTGCCAGCAGAGTGGTGCAGGATTTTACCCCTGAATGGTGGAGCAGGATAGGGAATCCTCTAACACAGTTTGCTCTGATAACTTCATGGGGACTTTGCAGGGAATGCTGATAAATGTGATTTCTCCACTTCCGATGTTTTTTTGGAATTAAAGAAAGAAGAAACAGACAATCTGACTGAGTCTCAGGAGCTAAAGGGAAAGATACGTCAGCACAATATTGTTAATGGTTTATTCGGCTTTGGGTACATCTACACTGCAGAATGAATGCAGTTCAACCGCACTTTAACAGCCATGGCTCAAGGCCATGGAAACCTGGTAGTTACAACTTTTGCAAGGTCGTTAGCCTTCCTTGCCAAAGAGTCCTTGTGCTTCATAAAATGACCAAGGTTCCATAGCACTGAGCAATGACAACTCAAGTCATCTCAAACTGCATTCATTCCACAGCGTAGAAGCACCCTTTAGTGACACCCAAAAACACAAACCTCACCTTAGTTCAGGGTCACTACAGTTGAGATGTTTAAGCAAAACATCTCAACTGTAATGTATTGGTTTTACTATAAACTGCTTTGAGTCTCTTCTTTAGAGAGAAAAAGCAGGGTATAGATATAACAATAATATCAATAATAATATTTTTTTTAACCAAATGGCTATGCATGTTGAACATCCTATACCAGTGTATGTAGTTCAAATATTTTATTTAAGCCACACTGAAGTTGAGAAATACAATTTTAATAGAGAGAAATTGAGCTATATAAGTAGCCACAGATGTCCTTGCTCTGGCAACATTATGTTTGGATAATTGTGAAGTCACTTTGAAGAATGTTTGGAAAATTCTGTTGGTCAAAAATACAATGAAAAAATTACTTGGAATGGGAGAATGGAAAAGATCACACTAGTTTTGAAAACAACTCCAACAGACTTCAGGAGATTTTGAGGCACAATTTTAAGTGCCGATTCTAACCTTTAAGTCAATTAACATCTCTGTTCTTCTGCATAAAGTTATCAGGTGAATAAATACATCTTCAGATGTGCTCTCTTCAATTCCTCTGCATTTACAAATAAACTAGGTAGTGACCTCAGAGCAGAGCTTTGAAAAGCTAATTTTGGACTATAACTCCCAGAATTCCCTAGCCAATATGGTTATGCTAGCTAGAGGATTCTGGATGATCTAGCAAAACAGTTAACTTTTGCATACATTGCCACAGATATTTTTTTTCATGATCGCACTCTAATATTGACATTTCCTCCTTGGATGGGCTTTGGTGTCCATAGCAGAAATACTAAGAAACTGGTATGAAATTTAACATTTCTTAGTGCATGGTGAAAACCTGTTAGAAGTATAGCATTGATTATAGTTTAGTTTATCTAAAGCATATTGCAGATATTACTCTTAAAGAATAATAATTGGGAGCATTTTTGGCACTTTGAGAACATCCAAACTGAAAAGTTGCATAGAAGTAATCAAAATTTCAATTTCACTTCAATAAAAATGAAATTAAATTCAATTTACTTACAAAAATGGTCTCTACAATGTTGGCTCAAAGCCAGAAGATCCAAATTAGGAGAAGGCAGCTTGAACGAAGGGTCATCAGAAAGGCTATAAACCCATGGCAGAGAGAGCAATCCAATTATGTTTTCGATCATCTCATCATTAAACTGGACGTTTGCTTTATGAGGAGGAAAACACATATTTGCAACAATTTAATTAAGATAGCTTAAACATTCAGTATACTGTCTGCTGACAAAAGAGCAGCACCATACCACTTTAAATAATTGTATTGTAATGCTTTTAATGTAACGGCTTTGAGTTTCCTTATGGAGAGAAAAAGCTGGATATAAATAAACACAACAACAACAACATGAAGGTTTAAGTAAGTGCAGTGCCTAAAGACCTTGGCCTGCACTTAAAAACAATTGGCGCTGACAAAATTAACATCTGTCAGCTGCAAAATGCCACCTACTCGGATCTGCATGAATTATTCGCCGATACATCACACAGTCCTAGACACTTGGTAAGTGTCCAACGTGTGATCAAATACAAAATCCAGCACAGTGATCTTGTTTGCTGTGTACTACTCTTATCAAATAATAATAATAATTAAATAAGGAAAACATGATAATTCAATGGTGGACCAAATAACCACCATGTCAGAAGACAGAAGTTTGAAGGAGTCCTGGCAACAAGATGGATTCTCAGATTGGTAGGTTAAACATAACCGGGCTTTCTCCGTAGCAGAGCCTCATCTGTGGAACTCCCTGCCCAAGTAAATTAGACTGGCCCTTTTTCTTTTAAGTTTCCAACAGACAGTCGGAACAGTGCTGTTCTGCATGGCATTCAATGTTTCTAATTGCTGTTTTAATCCTTTCAAAACTGGATTCTAGGATCTTTAGACTATTGTCTTTTTTATAAAAGAGCATCTTAATATGTTTTAAAAACATTTTATCTTTGTATTGTTTTAACTGGTTTCTATTTGCTCATTGCCTGAAGAACCCTTACAGGTCGGGAGGCAACACAGAAACACTATCAATAAATAAGGCTGAGGAAGTCCTTTGCTAAAGTTCTTGGACAACAGTTATTTGTCAGCTACAGGCAGTGATGAGTTGGATAATCAAACATGTTTCCAAATGAAGGATTCCTCAGGTTAGCAATCAAAAGGCCTTGTGCAGCTGTTCTACTTTTCCCTCTGAATGTTTTATTTCTAGTCACAACAAAAAGCCCACCACTGATGGTGGTGATCTCTGATTTTTCTGTACAATTCTGTGGACGAGTCACGACAATTGCAATTAAAGCCTTACCTAGAAGCACCCTAGAAATCCAATTAAAGGTCCTATAATTATAGGTTACTATGAAATTCTAAAGAATGATGTATCAGGAAGGCTTAATGTGAACACACCCTTTGTTCCAGCAGCCAGGAACACTTTAAAGTGCATGTGTGGACTACTTCATTTATTGATGTATTTCCTGCTTTCCTCCTTAACATGAAGGTGAAGGCGCTAACAACAAGGTTAAAACAAGACAGAACTAATTGCTGATATTTTAACATCTCACCTTGCATATAAAGTAGAGCATCGGTTATTTTCACTACTCTTTGAATTACTGGTTCCAGTTCAATTATGCCTGCAGCAGGATCTAACAGCTTCCAACAGACTTTCACTCCTCTCATAAGCAATTCTGAAGAAATCCAGATTAACCGGACACGCTGTCTTGATTCTGAAGGACAAACAGTGTTGTTTTGTTTGTGGCTGTGAGCAACCTGATGTTCTGTGCTGTGAGGGAAAAGAACAAGAAATCATCTGGTCACTGAAATGGCTTGATCAGATGGTACATGTTGAACCACTTCTCAAGTCAGAAAACAATCCTGACACAATCTGGTTCATTTTGCAGCTCAACACAAGTACCTCCAAAACTCTGTCACCAATTGCTTATCCAACAATACATTATTCCTACTTTGAAATCTGGATATTAAAAAAAGAGGAAGATCCACCACCAGAAATGCTTTATTTTCTGACTTGGTGAGTCTATTGCCATTCCAATTTCATCTTTTACTTTTTTTAAAAAAAATCCAGTGACTGAAATAATGGCATGAGGATACAAACAAAAATAATGTCATATATATCCTTCATATTTCCATAAGCTCAGTGCAAAATGGAAACTTTGGGGTTCTTTTACCTGCTGAATTCTGGCATGGAGTGGACTGTGCACAGAGCAGCCAGCTGAAATATCAAAGCAATTCCTTCAATGGTTTGCAGAACTTCCTGCGGCAGAATGTCTTGTTCCAGAAGTAACACCAGAGATTCTGCTTTCTTGATTATCAAATTCCACACCACACTCTTCACTGTCATGTTCACAGGACAGGGGCTAAACATTAATAAACCATTTTAGAAAGCTAAAAGAACCCTTAAAACTTTTTAAAAACTGTTCACAACAGCCCACAAACTTCTCAAAATCAGCCTTACAGTCTAAGTGTGCATGTTCGGAGGTGTTTAGGGGTCTATCTACATCAGGCACAGGCAAACTTTGGCCTTCCAAGTGTTTTGGACTTCAACCCCCACAATTCCTAACAGCTGGTAGGATGTTAGGAATTGTGGGAGTTGAAGTCCAAAACACCTGGAAGGCCAAAGTTTGCCTGTAGAATGGAAGTTGTAGTTCGATGAGACATCAACACTATTTAGCCAGTAAGGCTGAAGAAGACCTTATAAAACTTACAAAATTTAACTCATAGCATAGCCATGACAGTTAAAATGGTGTTAAACCACATTAATAGTACAGTGTAGATACATCTTAAGACATCCTAGAGAACATAGAGAGAACACTTCTCTAGGCAACTTTTGGTAAGTGATCAAAAAGTCATGCTGGGAGAACTAGAGAGAACAGTGTAATCAAATTTACATAAGTAAAACCCACAAATGTGGATGATTAATTGTAAATAGCAGCTCTACTGATTACTTATGGCAGTTAGCTTTATCTATAGAAACTGTTTGAAGTAATACTCGTACTGTGTTGGCATAGAGGACTTTTTGGGTTGCTTCAAGGACAGACGTAGTCTTTTTTCAGGAACTTCATCACTACTGCTACTTCCCCCATCGGTATCAGAGGCCTCTGGATTATGACTACGCTGCAGCTCCTGAATGACACCCGCTGCTTCTGTCTTCAGGGAAGCATAAAGTGGACTCTGAAGATACTAAGAAAAATACATACATCTCAGGAATGCTGTACAACTTTCTCTATCACAAATATACATATATTAAGGTCTCACAAACTTCATAGATAATTGAACAGTTCAAATATCAATATGAACATACTAGTTAATAGGTTATTTCCCATTTCCAGACATCCATGTGACATCAGAAATTGAATTCCCCAACGAAAACAGAGTGCACAGGTGACTGCAATAGACAGGGAACACTTTCCAGCTTTCACAATCATGCACAGAAACTGGAAATATGAAAGAATGGACAACTGTAACTTAAGTATCAATTATATATTTCTACATTCTAGGATCTTGACTAGTTCCCTTGGAAGTTCGAGTCTTCTGATTTCTTTACTGAAGTCTCCATTCTGATTCATGACTGAGTCAAAATCTTGAAAATCTTGAACTGGTTTGATATTTTCATCTTTTACTCTAAAGTTATGTTAATCTATGGCCATTATTTGTGTTTTCATAATTTTTGACTGGGGTACAAATTGTGGATTTTGATATGATCCATGGATCACAAAGGATCATTCCAGATAGGGGGAAGTGCCAGCTAGACGTATACATTAATATATACAGTACTTGACCGTACCAGGCATACACTTGTTCATACTAGTTACCAACAGTAAAAATGCACATATTTTACCTTGTACTCAGAGGTCCACTGAGATGGGAGAGGTAGAAATTAATGTAAAGTATATTGTAATGACACTCCATGCCATCATGCTAAGCACATGACCTTGGAGGTGTCTACGGACAACACCAGCTCTTCGGCTTAGAAATTGAGATGAGCATGAACCCCCAGAGACAGACACGACTAGACTTAATGTCAAGGGAAACCTTTACTTTACCTCATATTGTAACTCATACATCTGTTGTTTGCGATTTTACTGAAAGCATTTCTTTCATAAGAATAAAAATGTGCATGGATGCAACAACAATGCAAATAACAAATTCACATTTTATGTCTGTGGGATTTCAATATTTGTTTATGTATTTTAATATGTGTATCTTATAGATATATGTTTTAAATTATGTTTTCACTGAATGTATTTTACCATATTGACTTAGTCTAATGCACCATCAAATCTAACGTGCACCTCAATTTTCAGAACTCTGAAACAAAAAAAAAATTAGCTGCTGAAGGTCATGTGCAAATAAAAAGTATCTCTTTGCCATTTACAGCACCAAAGATTCCAGAAATGGAAAGGAAAAGTTTGGAGTGTATCTCTGCTGTAGAATGAATCCACTTTAATTGCCTTGGTTCAATGCTATGGAGTCATGGGACCTGTAGTTTGATAAGGCCTTGTGCTTTCTCTGCCAAAGGATGCTGACGCCTCACCAAACTACAAATCCCAGGATGGCATAACATTGAGCCATGACCATTCAATTAGAAGTGACAGGAACTTCAGCTGCTCCTGAAGCACCTTTCCCTTTTGTTTTGGCTCAGCACTAAGACTATCGTATGATGCGAATCTGATGTGTACCTTAACTTTGGAAAACAAAACAAAAAAAGAAAGAGTGAATGAACTCTAAGACATACTAGATAAGTGAGTGGACAATATGAATGAAGGAGGTGGAGAATAATGGAAGGGTGTAGAGAAATGTGGTTATTGACATCTTTCATGTATTAATTATATAAATCCGCTCACAAAGCAAAATATCAATAAAAAATATTTTTTTAAATGTACCTTAACTTTGGAGAGGTAATTTAGCAAAATAAAAAGGTGAGCATTAGATTTAGGTAAATAGGGTATTATGATGATGCATTTTAACTGTGTTTATCCTGCCTTGAGCCATAAAGAGAGGCAAGCAATAAATCAATAAATAATAATTCATAGAACTTACCTCTTGTTCTACTTGTGTTCCAATGATTGAGACAATATGTCTGCAAATGCTGTCGATGCAGGTCTTTCTAACTGGAACAGCAGATTCAAATCCAGCTGGCACAAACATGAAATACTGGAGCATGTGACATAAGACTCTTTTCATCACTTCAGACTGAAGAGTCCTAAGCACGCCGGCTTCAAACAACGCATGCAGTTTCTCCAATAATATGCTGAGATAAATAGGTTCAATATTCTCACAGGAATGCATTTCAAAAGGAAACAAAGTCCTCACGAGTACCAACAATGGTTCCTCATAGAGTTCTAACCTTTCAGCACTCATTTTAGGAATGGACTGCAAGGTTCCAAAAAGAATGGCGAAAAAGCTGCTGGCTAGTTCTTCTGGAGGTCCTCCTAGCTGTACCAATTCTGTTAAAAAGGTCATGCTCAAAGCTTTAACTTTAGGAGTGCCATAGTCCCATAGGGAGCACCCTATTCCCCAAAGGATAACGTCCTGTCGTTTAAAAAAAATATAAGGAACTAGGTCGATGAGAATTCTTATCAAAGTTATCTCCAAGCACTCCACGTTGCTCATGCCCATTAACTGAAAATGGACAGAACTTAGACAGCCCAGATTAATATTGGGGTTGCACACAAATCGGCTTACAGTCACAGGCCAGCTAAGTACATCTCCTTGAGGGCACCTCTCTGTACTTCTTTCGTGGAGCAAAATCAGATCCTGAAGGATATCCAATAATTCTCTTGTCAACAAGTTAAATATGACACTGTTTTTCACTTTGAGAAGGCATAATAAAGAAAAAATGACATTACTAATGTTCTCATGTAACACGTGGCAGTTCGGAGTGGCAGCAACTCTCAGAAGTCTTGCAATGATCCAACTGCTGAATTCTAGAAGGAAAAAACAAGAGGTATAGTGTTATGGCTGCAATCCTATAACAACTTACTGTTGAGTAAGTCCCACCATTGAAAACCTCTGTCTGTGATTAATGGCTACACTGACTGTGGCAGATGGGAAATGGACCATAACCATATCTGAAGGGTCCCAAGTCCATCTATTTTTTAAATAAACCTGCATATGAGTAAGCGGCAAGCCCAGAAGCAAGAGATGAACCTAACAAGTACTCTGAAAATCATATTAAATGCACTGTTTCAGTAGGCCTTTGATGGTAAAGGTAAAGGTTTCCCCTGACATTAAGTCTAGTCGTGTCCGACTCTGGGGGGTGGTGCTCATTTCCATTTCGAAGCTGAAGAGCCGGCATTGTCCATAGACATCTCCTAGATCACGTGGCCGGCATGACTGCATGGAGCGCTGTTACTTTCTCGCAGAAGCAATACCTATTGCTCTACCCCGGTGGCACAGTGGGTTAAACCCCTGTGCCGGCAGGACTAAAGACCGACAGGTCGCAAGTTCGAATCTGGGGAGAGGCGGATGAGCTCCCTCTATCAGCTCCAGCTCCTCATGCGGGGACATGAGAGAAGCCTCTCACAAGGATGATAAAAACATCAAATCATCCGGGCGTCCCCTGGGCAATGTCCTTGCAGACGGCAAATTCTCTCACACCAGAAGCAACTTGCAGTTTCTCAAGTCGCTCCTGACATGACAATAAATAAATAAATAATACCCACATTTGCATGTTTTTAAACTGCTAGGTTGGCAGAGGCTGGAACTAACAGCAGGAATTCGAACCGCCAACCTTTTGGCCAGCAAGTTCAGCAGCTCAGCGGTTTAACCTGCTGCGCCAACAGGTGACCCAGGCCTTTAGATATCAAACCACAAAACCAAATAATTGGAAGGGGCTGCAAGGGCAATCTCGTCCATTATCCTTGTCATATAAGAATACAGAACTAAAATACCCTGAAAAAACCCATTCAACTCATGTTCAAAGATGTCCAAAGATAGACAAGTCTGCCACCCTCCAAGACCATCTATGGCACTGTCCAATGGCTCTGATGATGATGATGATGATGATGGTGATGATAATAATAATAATAATAATAATAATAATAATAACATCTTTATAATTTCAGACAGACTCTCTTTTCTTATAATTTGAATCCACTGTTTTGTGTTCTATTCCCTGGAGCAGCAATAAAACTTCATTCATCTAAAGAAGTAGCACTAGTTTTCTTTCTCTGTATCAATTACACTATTACTTCCTTTAATCCATAAATCTATTCCATTATAAAATTACTACAACATCATTTTTGGTTTGCCGATTTACAAAAATTCCAAAGATATATTTGAATGAACTCACCAATGCAGCTGGCTTCTGCTTCATTTTGCTGATGAGTTCCAGTCACATTTACAAATACAAGCGGGGATGATTTCATAATATGAAGTATAAAATCAAGCAACATTACAGAACTTGGCTGTGAGTCAGTTTTCTTAGCAAGTTCTAGAGCAACTGAAAAATAAACAGTCACATTTCTTTATGCTAATTTCACATATTATTCTCCTTTTCAAAATAAATCTATCATTTCTTCAGTAAAAGTGCAGAACAATGAAAATGAAATTCACACTTTTCATATATGTTAAACACCATGTTTTTCCACACAAGAGGTAATAAATCGCCTAGCAGAGATATATGTAAATTAACACATGCTTATCATCTATCATTTATTTTAATTTATTGCCAGAATGCTTGAATACTGTTGGGATAGTTCACATCCAATTTTGCTGATTCCTCTCTTGCCAAGGACATACTTTGTGTGCCAGTATGTCTGTGCGGCTTGAACCTTTACTCCATATGTCTGAAATAGATCCTAAATGACAAAAGCTGATACTAGAATAAATCTTCCTGATGCTGAGATAAAGGGTGCATCTATACTTTGAAATCAATGCAGTTTGACACCATTTTAAATGCCATGGCTCAATGCTTTAGGATCCTGGAAGGTGTAGTTCTACAAGGCCTGCTCTGACAAAGAGGGCTGGTCCCTCGCCAAACTACAATATCCAAGATTCTATAGTATTGAGCCATGGCTGTTAAAGTGTTATCAACACTCATTAATTCTGTAGATTAGATGAATCCAAAGTATGCTCACTACTCTGTTGTTATAGCCAAACAGACTAACATAACTACTTCACAAATTGCTTTTAAAAACAATGGTTTCAAATAAGAATCTGTTGCTTCTGAAGCCAAGTGTTATTTTGGGGAAATTTTAACGAATTGATATCACACACACATACCATTTTGTGAAAACATGCCTCTTAATATATATTGTGTGCTAAGATAGCATTTCCCTGAATCAAACTACTGGTGACAGACTTGAAAGCAGACCTATGCATCTGTTCCCCTTTGAAAGTCTCATCTACTTGGTAATCAGTGAAAAAGACCGAAATATCCAGTCTTTTTTTGGTATATTACTATTTATAATACCCAGCAGAATCTGGGGTTTTTTTTTCATACTAGAACAGGATAGTCTTCCAGATGTTACTTGATTGCAAATCCCAGCAGTTCTAATCAGCAAAGTAGGTCTAATCATCATAGCTGATGATAGGAAAAGCTGAGAATTGCAGCCCAAGAACCTCTAAGAGATGAATGATTCCTGCACTGGGTGAAATCTGCCTCTATTCTCCTCCCAAGTATCTTTGCTTTTACTTTCCTCATCACATTATTACTTTTCAATAAACTTTTTAGATATTCTATATTGCCTAGGATTTAGAATTTGCTACCTTGTCAAAATTTATACACTGGACACTGTACAACAAAGTAACTTTTCAAAATCTAGCCTCTTTAACAGTTTTGTTTTACTTACCAACATCTACATCCACTAGAATTCGATCAATGAACTGACAGAGAATTTGTCTTGGTTTCTGCACAACAGTATTGTATTCCTCTGGGGTGGCACTGGAATTAATGTATTTAACAATTAGCATTGTCTCTCTACTTTAATATGTTACTCTGAATGTCACAAGTTATCTAGCAATTCATTTCCATCCATTGTGGCTTTAATTAAAACTATGGGTTTCACTTCACATCCCCACTACATTACCAGTAATGTAGTGGGGATATCTATGTCATCAGCATTAATTTGTAAATGACCATTTATATTTCATCGTTTGCAGCTTTACAATTTGATTTTCATAGATCACAACCATGCACATAAACTGGCTAACAGATGGCAGCACATTATGAAGTAACTTTTCATCTGTAGAAGGTTATGCATAATTTTTTCAATACTGTTATTGTGTGTCTTGCTTAGAAACCTTTCTTACAGATGTGAATGCAACTTCAGTTATGCTTCCAACTGCCTTTACCTCAAATAGCCAAATGGAAATATGTGAATAGGTTCTAAGAGTTTTAACTATTTTAATAGTTTCAATGTTTAATTGTATTTTAATGTTTGTATGCTTTCTATGTTTTAAATTAAACATTGTATTGCTTTTAATGTTAGACACTTTGGGTCTCTTTTTTAGTCAGATAAGCAGGATACAAATAAAAGCAGCAACAACATACCCTCAAGTATGTAAAACAAGAATAAAAACCAAACATTTACAGGATTTGCAAGGCTTTCTAAGGAGACAGATTTTTCTTTTTCATGAAGCAAGGCTGTAAAACAGCCTACACAGTCTACACAGTAAAACACCATATGTTGTCGTTAACAGATATCATCTAAGTGGCGTCTAGAAATCGTGACCCCAATACTGAGGAAAGGGGAGTCTCTTTTGCGGAGAGAAAAAGTGGGGTATAAATAAACAATAGCAACAACACTATGTAACAAAATAGGAAAAAAAAAACAGTTCCTGGTTTAAAAGCATTATTTCTTGTTTAATTGTGTGCTACTTACTTTGAAAGTCAGGCATGGGCCAACTTGGGCCCTCCAGGTGTTTTGGACTTCAACTCCCACAATTCCTTAATTAAGCGGCTGAGGGAGAAAGGAAGGGGTCTGAGGCTGTTAGGAATTGTGGGAGTTGAAGGCCAACAGACTTGGAGGGCTCAAGTTTGCCCACTCCTGTTGAAAGTAGACGCTATACTCCAGAAACTTCGTTTTTGTGGCTGCCACAAACTATGTTGAATTGGTTGAGACTCTATGAGATATTCATATTAAAAACTCTAGCAAGATGTGCTGCAGGATGTCCCGCAAAAACAAGGAGACTCTAATTGATATATGTTTTTATTGATATTGACTGTTTTATGTAGTTTTATATTTAAGCTTATTGATTTAATCATATTTTCTGTTTTTGATGCTGATTGTAAACCGCCCTGAGTCGCCTGCAGACTCAGAGGGGTGGTAGATAAATATAGTAAACTAGCCATCCCCTGCCACGCATTGCTGTGGCCCAGTCTGGTGATCTGGATAATAAAATAATGAGAAAGTGTTGGTTTCTAACATATGTAATTTTTTTTATACTTGTGGGTAAACAGTATTTCTTGCTGTTTCTTTGACAGTGTTGATGTGGAGATTGTCTGCTTTGCCTACATATAATTTTCCTTTTTTAGGGGTCTCTTTGAAATCTATGATACTATATGTGTGTGTGAATCATATCTATCTATCTATCTATCTATCTATCTATATCTATGGCAAGATGGCTCTTTGTCAGGAGGGCTTTGATAACGTTTTCTTGCCCTGGTGAAGGGAGTTGGACTGGATGGCCTTAAATATTTTCTGGTGGTCATGGGGGTTCTGTGTGGGAAGTTTGGCCCAATTCTATCGTTGGTGGGGTTCAAAATGCTTTGCTTGTAGGTGAACTATAAATCCCAGTAACTACAACTCCCAAATGTCAAGGTCTATTTCTCCCAAACTGCAACTGTGTTCCTATTTGGACATATGGAATATTCGTGCCAAGTTTGGTCCAGATCCTTCATTGTTGAGTCCACAGTGCTCTCTGGATGTAGGTGAACTACAATTCCCAAACTCAAGGTCAATGCTAACCAACCCTTCTAGTGTTTTCTTTTGGTTATGGGAGTCTTCTATGCCTTGTTTGGTTCAATTCCATCATTGGTGGAGTTCGGAATGCTCTTTGATTGTAGGTGAACTATAAATCCCAGCAATTACAACTCCCAAATGACAAAATATTTTTTTTAGTGAAGGACATACATTGGGTTAGTAGGTGTCTTGTGGCCAAATTTGGCAGCAATTCGTCCAGTGGTTTTTGAGCTATGTTAAACCCACAAAGCAACATTACATTTTTATTTATATAGATAAATAAATGGTTTTTGCATTTTAAGCAGCTTCACCATGTTTTCCTGATAGAACCAATTAGGACATTACATTTATAACCCAGGAACAAAAACAACCATAAAATCACAAAGTTGGAAGAGACCTCATGGGCCAACCAGTCCAACCTCCTGCCAAGAAGCAGGAAAACTGCATTCAAAGCACCCCAGACAGATGGCCATCCAGCCTCTGTTTAAAAGCCTCCACAGCTGTGTCACATATAATGTTCTATTTTTCCACACTGTGTACCCTGAACCACCCAACAGCAAAGGTGCAACTGAGTGGTTTTGGAGGGTTTGGGGCTTACCTAGCCAGTTCCCGGAGGGCAGGAATCACGGAGGCCATCTCCAGCCCCTGGTCGCCCATCCTCGCTTCGACTCCGCGCCGTTTCCCGCCTCCTTTTCCTCTTCTAGGCAGGGAAGCCGCCCTCAGGACGGGGGCTGACAGGCGCCAAACTTCCCACAAAAGCGTTTTGCCCTTCCCCTTCTTTCTCTTTTCCCCCCTCTCTCGGCCAATTTCAAAAGAGATTGCTATGAAGACACGAAGCCGCCTTCTTTTAAATTAATATTAATAGAGGAAGTTCTGTTTCAACTATCGCGTTATCTCACTCATTGACTAAATTCTAACAACATATTCAATTGCAGGTCCTCTTCTATCCCATTAAGCTGTGACAGGGCAAGCTTCCGCTTTCATCGCCATGGCAACACCGCGTGGGACGCTGGGATTTTGAGTTTAAGCGAGGGATAGTTAGCCCGCTCAGCCAAAGAGGTTTCGGGTCTCACTGAACTACCAAACCCAGAAGGCCACAGAATGTTGCCGTGGCAACTACAGTAGACCATAGAGCTATAACAGTGTCCCTCTATTCTGCAGTTTAGTTGCTATTGACTCCAGGGCCCTTCCACATAGCCACATAACCCAGAATATCAAGGCAGGAAATGCCATAATATCTGTTTTGAACTGAAATATATGGCAGTGTGGACTCAGGACCGTTCCACACAGCCACATAATCCAGAATATCAAGGCAGGAAATGCCATAATATCTGTTTTGAACTGAGATATATGGCAGTGTGGACTCAGTGCCTTTCCACATCGCCGTATAATCCAGAATATCAAGGAAGGAAATCCCACAATATCTGCTTCGAACTGAGATATATGGCAGTGTGGACTCAGAGCCTTTCCACACAGCCGTATAATCCAGAATATAGCACCAAAGCACCCGGTGGCGCAGTGGGTAAAACCCCTGTGCCGGCAGGACTGAAGACCGACAGGTCGCAGGTTCGAATCTGGGGAGAGGTGGATGAGCTCCCTCTATCAGCTCCATCTCCTCATGCGGGGACATGAGAGAAGCCTCTCACAAGGATGATAAAAACATCAAATCATCTGGGCGTCCCCTGTGCAACATCCTTGCAGACGGCCAATTCTCTCACACCAGAAACGACTTGCAGTTTCTCAAGTCACTCCTGACACGACAAAAAAAATATCCAGAAAATCAAGGAAGGAAATCCCACAATATCTGCTTCGAACTGAGATATATGGCAGTGTGGACTCAGGGCCCTTCCACACAGCCACTGTTGTTTATTCGTTCAGCCGTTTTCGACTCTTCGTGACCTCATGAACCAGCCCGCGCCAGAGTTCCCTGTCGGCCGTCACCACCCCCAGCTTCTTCAAGGTCAATCCAGTCACTTCTAGATATGATCGCTCCGTCTTGTCCTTAGTCGGCCCCTCTTCCTTTTTCCTTCCATTTTCCCCAGCATCATTGTCTTCTCTAAGCTTTCCTTTCTTCTCATAATGTGGCCAGAGTATTTCATCTTTGCCTCTACTATCCTTCCCTCCAATGCGCAGTCGGGCTTTATTTCCTGAAGTATGGACTAGTTTGATCTTTTCGCAGTCCAAGGCACTCTCAGAACTTTCCTCCAGCACCACAGTTCAAAGCATCTATCTTCCTTCCATCAGCCTTCCCTATGGTCCAGCTCTCACATCCGTAGGTTACTACAGGGAATACCATGGCTTTGACTATGTGGATCTTTGTTGCCAGTGTGATGTCTCTACTCTTTACTATTTTATCGAGACTGGACATTGCTCTCCTCCCAAGAAGTAAGCGTCTTCTGATTTCCTGGCCACAGTCTGCATCTGCAGTAATCTTTGCACCTAGAAATACAAAGTCTGTCACGGCCTCCAGGTTTTCTCCCTCTATTTGCCAGTTATCAATCATTCTTGTTACCATAATCTTGTTTTCCTATATATTTAACTGCAACTCAGCTTTTGCACTTTCTTCTTTCACCTTGATTAGAAAGCTCCTCAGTTTCTCCTCACTTTTGGCCATCAAAGTGGTATCATCTGCATATCTAAGGTTGTTAATGTTTCTTCCAGCAATTTTAACCACAGCCTTGCATTCCTCGAGCCTCGCACATTGCATGATGTTTATCATCATCATCACTTCACTTCACTTCACTTTATTTCTTAATTAGTCGCTCTCCACCAAGGTGCTCCGAGCGACTTACAATCTAAAATAGCATTTACACAATATAAAAACATTCAACATAAAAACATTCAACAGTGACTATTTGGCAAATTAGATCTGATTACTTAAATGCACAACCAAACAGCCAAGTCTTGAGTGCCTTTACAAAAGGTCGCAACTCCGACATTGCTCTAATGTATGGAGGCAATGAGTTCCACGGAATTGGAGCATAGGTCGAAAAAGCTCTACGCCTTGTAGCTTCCAGGTGTACTTCCCTAGGGCCCAGTATGTATAGGAGATTTTCCTGGGTGGATCGAGATGACCACGGATGGAGATATATGGCGAAGTGGACTGAGGGCCTTTCCACACAGCTATGTAACACAGAATACCAAGGCAGAAAATCTCACCATATCTGCTTTCAACTGGGTTATCTGAGTCCACACTATCATATATTCCAGTTCAAAACAGATAATGTTGGATTTTATTCAGCTGTGTGGAAAAGGCCTTAAGGCCCTTCCACACAGCCATATAACCCAGAATATCAAGACAGAAAATCTTGATTTCAAAGCAGAAAATGTGAAATTGTATTCAGCTATGTGGAAGGGGCCTCAATGGGACATACTTCAAAATAGACTTGTACTGTGTTTACTAGCCTTGCTGTTGTGTACCTTCAAGCCTTTCCTGACTTAATGGCGACTTTAAGGTAAGGTTTTTATGGGGCTGAGAGAGTGTGACTTCCAAGAAGTTCAAACCCTGGGCTGGAGTCATTGGGTGTGTCCACACTTTGTTATTAATGCAGTTTGACCCCACTTTAGCTTCCCTGGCTCAATGCTATGAAACTCTGGGATTTGGTGAGGCACCTGGCTCTTTGGCAGGGAAGGCTAAAGGCTTTCCAAAATGACAATGCCCATGATTCCATAGCATTGAGCCATATGGCAGTTCAAGCGGCATCAAACTGCATTTATTCTTACAGTGTGGACATATCCCAGATCAGATTGCATCCATACAAATCTGTACTGCCTCATCAAGAGTTAAACCCCCATGTCATCACATTAGTGGCAGAATCTTATTATTATTATTAGCGTATCTGTACAAAGAAAAGTGGATTTTCTTCTTTTTCTTTTCCATTTCCTCTGCTGAAATTTCGATACAGAAAATACAAGACAAAGTATCAAAAGAAGGCCTTGAACTCGCATTGTGTGGAGGGGGAAGACGAGGACAGGAATGATTAAACACTGATGGGCAGAGGAGAGCCAATCTGGAGGGTGATTTCCTGCTTCATGTCTGAGTGCTGAGGCCCCATCTATACTGACCATTTAATACAGTTTGAAGACAGATTCAAACTTTGGTGGCCAGACAACAAACTCCCACAAAACCTTGTGAGAGAAAGCCTTTAATACGCAGCAGTACTCTGTGGTTTGTGTAATCACCATCCAGTTCTCAAACTGATGCTAGGAATTCCTATGTAATCATTGGCACAGCTAAACCATTTTGTTCAATGCTGGTTTCAAACTGCATTAAATGGTCAGTGTAGATAGGGTCTGAGACGGAAAGCAGCTTTCAGCAGCCGGCATCCTGAAAATAAATTGCTTTAACACACGTCACACCACTTTCTGTCATTCTTGTGCATCGATATATATTACGTTGTGGTATCTAGGAAAGCTGAAGAAAGTGTGCATCCACACTGTAGATTTAATGCAGTTTGACCCCACTTTAACTGCCATGGCTCAGTTCTGTAGAGTCATGAGAGCTATAGAAGTTCTTATAAGTTCTTTAACCTTCTCTGTCAAAGAGTGCTGATGCATAACTAAACTACAAATCCCATGGTTCCTTAGCAATGAGCCGTGGCAGTTCAAGTGATGTTAAACTGCATTAATTTGACAGTGTAGATGCACCCACAGAGTGTTTATTTGGCAATGTTTTTGACAGCATGCATTTGGATTTGCTCAGTCTGTGCAGAATATAATTTATGAATCAAATGCAAAACATACACTAGAATTGTATATATATTTTCCAACCAGAGAAGTCAGCTATAGCAGAACACTTGATGAACCAACCTGGACACAGGATATTATTTGAGAACACAGAAATGCTGGGCCACTCTAAGAATTACCATGTCAGAGTCCCCAGAGAAACCACTGAAATCCACAAGTACGTGGAAAATGTCAACAGAAGGGAGGATACCATGAAAATGAACAAAATCTAGCTACCAATATTAAAAAAACACCAGAATCATGCTGCAAGTGAGAATGTCCCCAATTAAGGACCTTCTCACGACGCCTGAGGCACTCCAAGTGGCCAGCTTCTGGTCAAAGGACATTTAGCCTAATGCCAAGTTTTCAACTTTGTATTTTTAAATATATTATAACTGTACCCTCAATTCGCTTCTGACACTATAAATAAATAAGACAGTAAATAATGAACCCCACTCAGAAACAGGAGAACTCCAGACAGCAAGCAATCAAGTGCCAGTTAACACTTCCCAAACAAAGGATGCCCCCAGGCAGCAACAACTAGGCTTTGCAGCTGCAAGGCTACTCAATGCTAATCATAGAATCATAGAATCAAGAGTTAGAAGAGACCTCATGGGCCACCCAGTCCAACCCCCTGCCAAGAAGCAGGAATGTTGCATTCAAATCACCCCTGACCAGCCTCTGTTTAAAAACTTCCAAAGAAGGAACCTCCATCACACTCTGGGGCAGAGAGTTCCACTGCTGAATTGCTCTCACAGTCAGGAAGTTCTTCCTCATGTTCAGATGGCATCTCCTCTCCTGTAGTTTGAAGCCATTGTTCCGCATTCTAGTCTCCAAGGAAGCAGAAAACAAGCTTGCTCCCTCCTCCCTGTGGCTTCCTCTCACATATTTATACATGGCTATCATATCTCCTCTTAGCCTTCTCTTCTTCAGGCTAAACATGCCCAGCTCCTTAAGCTGCTCCTCATAGGGCTTGTTCTCCAGACCCTTGATCATTTTAGTTGCCCTCCTCTGGACACATTCCAGCTTGTCAATATCTCTCTTGAATTGTGGTGCCCAGAATTAGACACAATATTCCAGGTGTGGCCTAACCAAAGTAGAATAGAGGGGTAGCATTACTTCCCTAGATCTAGACACTATGCTCCTATTGATGCAGGCCAAAATCCCATTGGCTTTTTTTGCCGCCACATCACATTGTTGGCTCATGTTTAACTTGTTGTCCACGAGGACTCCAATATCTTTTTCACACGTACTGCTCTCGAGCCAGGCGTCCCCCGTTCTGTATCTTTGCATTTCGTTTTTCCTGCCAAAGTGGAGTATCTTGCCTTTTGTCACTGTTGAACTTCATTTTGTTAGTTTCGGCCCATCTCTCTAATCTGTCAAGATCGTTTTGAATCCTGCTCCTGTCCTCTGGACTATTGGCTATCCCTCCCAATTTGGTGTTGTCTGCAAACTTGATGATCATGCCTTCTAGCCCTTCATCTAAGTCATTAATAAAGATGTTGAACAGGATCAAGCTGGCAAAATAAACAAACAAATCTTGATTGCGGCCGGAAAGGTAAAGGTTTCCCCTGACGTTAAATCTAGTTTTGTTCTTTCTCTAATCTTGGACAGTTCACAAACACACACACACACACACACACACATATATATATACACACCCCATTTGCCTCGTTTGCAACAGACCTCTGAACAAACATCTGAGAATGCCTGTCATAGATACATGGAAAGGTACTGGAACATGGCCCTGCAGCCCAAAAACCTCACAGCAACCCATTTACAAAGCCAATGTTACATGCATACAAATGTACCTTATTATTATTATTATTATTATTATTTCTAAACAGTAAAGCACAACACATGCAAACATTTACATAACCAATACTACACACACACACAAGTATCTGTATTATTGTTGTTGTTATTGTTACCAAACAGTGAACATGCATGCAAATATTCAGAAAGTCAATACTGCACTGTTAAGCATTTAAAGTACTTTTAATTTTAGAAGGGATTTAAACTCACTAAAAGAAACCAGTAAAGTCAACAACAAAACACAGTTTTTTGGGCTGTATGGCCATGTTCGGGCTGTATGGTCATGTTTCTTAGTTTCCAACAGACTTCACAACCTCTGAGGATGCCTGCCATAGATGCAGGCGAAACGTCAGGAGACAATGCTTCTGGAACATGACCATACAGCCCGAAAAACTCACAGCAACCCAGTGATTCTGGCCATGAAAGCCTTAACAACACAACAAAACAAAAACAAAAAACCAGCAGCCACATCTCTATTTATTTATTTCCTACATTTATATGCCACCCTCCTCACCCTGATGGGGACTTAGAGCAGCTTACAAGATGTATGTGTGTGTGTGTGTGTGTATATATATATATATATATATATACACACACACACATATACAATATATTATATTATTAGCATAATACAATATCAGTAGTATATATTACTATATTGTAATATACCATTATATTGTAACATTATTAGTAATTATTATTAGTATTTTATTATTAACTATATTTATATCCTGCGCTTCTCACCCTGAAGGGGACTCAGAGCGGCTTACAGATTATGGCAAAATTCAATGCCTCATTATACATACAAATAATATAACATATCAAATTATAAAACAGTTAAAACATCTAAATGCAATAAAACAATAAAATAGTAATATTACATGTAATATAAAATATATAATTATAATTATAATATTGTATTAATATTATTAGTATTATATTGTATTACATTGCAATATTATCAATATTATATGTATATACAATATATTATATTATAGGGTTGTTGTAGGTTTTTTCGGGCTATATGGCCATGGTCTAGAGGCATTCTCTCCTGACATTTCGCCTGCATCTATGGCAAGCATCCTCAGAGGTAGTGAGGTCTGTTGGAACTAGGAAAAAGGGTTTATATATCTGTGGAATGACCAGAGTGAGACAAAGGACTCTTGTCTGCTGGAGCTAGGTGTGAATGTTTAAACTGATCACCTTGATTAGCATTTGATTGCCTGGCAGTGCCTGGAGCAATCTTTTGTTGAGAGGCCATTAGATGTCCCTGTCTGTTTCCTCTCTGTTGTTGTATATTATATTATAAGTAAAGCACAGGAGACAAGATGGAACTGTCTCCTGCCCCCCTCTCTCTTCACATCTCTACCTTTAAATCAATACACTTTGACACCCTTTTAATTGCCATGGCTATTAAATGCTATGGGATGTTTAGATCTGTAGTTTTACAAGGGCTTTCTCCTTTACCTGCCAAGGAGTGCTAGTGTCTGGTCAAAACAAAACTCCCATTATTCTTATACATAGCATTAAGCCCTGGATGGCAGTTCAAGTGGCGTCAAAACTGCGCTAAATGTACAGTGTGTAGATATTGACAAGCTGGAATGTGTCCAGAGGAGGGCGACTAAAATGATCAAAGGTCTGGAGAACAAGCCCTATGAGGAGCGGCTTAAGGAGCTGGGCATGTTTAGCCTGAAGAAGAGAAGGCTGAGAGGAGATATGATAGCCATGTATAAATATGTGAGAGGAAGCCACAGGGAGGAGGGAGCAAGCTTGTTTTCTGCTTCCCTGGAGACTAGGACGCGGAGCAATGGCTTCAAACTACAAGAGAGGAGATTCCATCTGAACACGAGGAAGAACTTCCTGACTGTGAGAGCCGTTCAGCAGTGGAACTCTCTCCCTCGGAGTGTGGTGGAGGCTCCTTCTTTGGAAGCTTTTAAACAGAGGCTGGATGGCCATCTGTCAGGGGTGATTTGAATGCAATATTCCTGCTTCTTGGCAGGGGGTTGGACTGGATGGCCCATGAGGTCTCTTCCAACTCTTTGATTCTATGATTCTATGTCAACTGATGGCACCCCATGTAAACTGATTGCAGAATAGATAGGACTTCTTTGGACCCTTCAATGGGAAGCCCCTGATGATCTCTCCCCCTCCCTCCCTTCTCCCAGCTGCAGAGAGCGGGGTTCTGAGCCCGCCTCCCCTCCGCGATCGTCCATGGAGATTGACTCGCGCGGCTGTCACTCAACGATGCGGCCGGCTGCAGGTGCCCTGCCTGCCTCCTCCCCTTGGAGGATCTCAGTGGAGCCCCGCCTGCCGCCGGAGCCACAGCGCGAGAGAGACCCTGCTCGGGTTGCAGCAGCAGCAAAGGCAGCAGCAAAGGCAGGTGCAAGGAGGCATCCAGCCCCTGCTGGGTCACAGGTACCTTTATTTCCCCCCTGCATCACCCCTTCCTTCTTTCAAAGCTAGGAAGGAAGCCTGATCATCATGACAGGTGTAATTTTTTTTAGGTGCTTGGAAACTTTTGTGCGTTTTGTTTTGCTGTCTTGGGTATTATCTATCTACACTGTAGAATTAATGCAGTTCGACATCGCCTCGACTATTATGGAATGCTGTATGGATGTATCCTACAGTGCAGATAGAATTAATGCAGCTCTGCCCTGCTTTAAATGCTAGGGTTGAATGCCATGGGATCTTGGGAGTTGTAGTTTTAGAAGTCCATGCTGGGTTTCGACAGCTCAATGGTAGGGAATTCTAGGATGTGTAGTTTTACAAGGTCTAAGAGTGCTTGTCCCTCAGCAAACTACAACTCCCAAAATTCCACTGGCATTGAGCCAGTGCAGCTCAAGTGGTATCAAACTGCATTGATATCTTAGGTATATCTATCCACCCTGTAGAATTAATGCAGTTTGATACCGCTTGGACTGTTATGGAATGCTGTATGGATGTATTCTATAGTGCAGTGGTTCTCTGTGGGTCCCCAGGTCTTCAACTCCCATAAATCCTAACAGTTGGTAAACTGGCTGGGATTTCTGGGAGTTGTAGGCCAAAACACCTGGGATCCACAGGTTGAGAACCACTGCTATAGCGTATGTGGAATTAATGCAGCTTGGCCCTGCTTTAAATGCCAGGGTTGAATGCCAAGGGATTTTGGGAGTTGTAGTTTTACAAGTCCATGCTGGGCTGCCACAGCTTAATGGTAGGGAATTCTAGGATGTGTAGTTTTACAAGATCTAAGAGTGCTGGTGCCTCAGCAAACTACAACTCCCAAAATTCCACTGGCATCGAGTCAGTGCAGCCCAAGTGGTGTCAAACTGCATGGATATCTTATGTATATCTATCCACACTGTAGAATTAATGCAGTTTGATACCGCTTGGACTGCTATGGAATGCTGTATGGATGAGTAGATAGAATTATTCATCTTGGGCCTGCTTTTAATTCCAGGGTTGAATGCCATGGGATCTTGGGAGTTGTAGTTTTACAAGTCCATTCTGGGCTGCCACAGCTCAGTGGTGAATTTCTAATGGAAAATTACAATCTTTATATGTTAGACTCTCAGTTACTGGAATTCAAGCAACCAGAATTCTCAAGTGACCAGCAAGAAAATAGATGAAATACTACTTTAAATAAATAAATTAATTAATAAATAAACACACACAGTAAAACAGTGCCATGTTCAGTTTTTCTTTTTTTTAAATTTGCTTCTAACTGTATTAATATTGGGTTGCTGTGAGTTTTCTTGGCTGTATGACTATGTTCTAGAAGCATTATCTCCTGACATTTCACCTACATCTATGGCAGGCATCCTCGGGAAACTAGGAAAATGGGCTTTATATATCTGTGGAATCCCCAGAGTGGGAGAAATAACTCTTGTCTATATGAGGTACGTGTGAATGTTGCAAATGGCCACCTTGATTAACATTGAATAGCCTTGCAGCTTCAAAGCCTGACTGCTTCCTGCCTGGGGGAATCTTTTGTTGGGAGGTGTTAGCTGGCCCTGATTGAATCTTGTCTGGCATTCCTCTGCTTTTTGAGTGTTGCTCTTTATTTACTGTCCTTTCTATGGAAATTGTCAGCATTCTTGTGTATTTCAATGGCTTCTTTGTGTAGTCTGACATGGTGCTTGTAAGTGTGGTCCAGCATTTCTGAAGTCAGTCATAGCAGAGCACCCGATGAACCAACCTGGACACAGCATATTATTTGAGAACACAGAAATGCTGGACCACTTTTACAACTACCATGTCAGATTACACAGAGAAGCCAATGAAATCCACAAACATGTGGGGAGGAAACCTTGAAAATGAACAAAATCTGGCTACCAGTATTTTAAAAACTCTAAAATCAGGACAAAGAATAAAGAGCAATGCTCAAAAAGCAGGGGAATTCCAGACAAGAATCAATCAGGACCAGCTAACAAATCCCAAAAAAGGATCCCCCAGGCAGCAACCATCAAGGCTTTGAAGCTGCAAGGCCATTAAATGCTAATCAAGGTGGCCATTTGCAACATTCACACTTGTCTCAAGTAGACAAGAGTTTTTCCACCCTGGACATAATTCCACAGATATATAAACCCCACTTGCCTAGTTTCAAAAAAACCTCTCAAACGCTGGGGATGCCTGCCATAGATGTGGGCAAAACATCAGGAGAGAATGCTTCCAAAACATGGCCATACAGCCTGAAAGACTCAAAATAATCCAGTGATTCTGGCCATGAAAACCTTCAGCAACACAATGTATTAATATTAATAGCAAATCAATATAGAGTTTATGATATTGCATGGGGGTATATACGAGGTAGTATTAGTTAGACCTATTTTTTAATAGTAACTCTCAAAAAAACCAGGCTACATTTACCTGGAATCTAGCAATCTCCGGTTAACAGAGAGTTTACTGTATTTTGAATTTAACATAATTTGCAGACATTGCTTGTTACCACGTGAAGGCAAATCTGAAATACATTGCTCAGCATATATGCTAATATTGGTGCCAATTTCCTCAATGCTAGGGCAGTTTTTTTTAGGGTTTTGCAGAATGAACAGCACAATCTGTAATATGCTTACTTAGACGAAAGCTCCATTGAATTCAAGGTATTTATTCCTCGATCATATATTTAGGATTATTGATGACGATAGCCATTTTTTAGTTCTGTTTCTCAAGGCTATGATATGTTTTTTGGATAGAGCAGCATTTCTCAACCTGGGGGTCGGGACCCTTTGGGAGGGAGGTCACAAGAGGGTGTCAGAGGGGTCGCCGAAGACCACAAAAAAACACAGTATTTTCTGTTGGTCACTGGGGTTATGTGTGGAAAGTTTGGCCCAATTTTATCGTCAGTGGGGTTCAGAATGCTCTTTGATTATAGGTGAACTATAAATCCCAGCAACTACAACTCCCAATTGCAAGGTCTATTTTCCCTAAACTCCACCAGTGTTCACATTTGGGCATATTATTGAGTATTCATGCCAAGTTAGGTCCAGATCCATCATTGTTTGAGTCCACAGTGCTCTCTGGATGTAGATGAACTACAACTCACAAACTCAAGGACAAGGCCCTCCAAACCCTTCCAGTATTTTCCGTTGGCTATAGAAGTTCTGTGTGTCAAGTTTGGTTCAGTTCCATCGTTGGTGGAGTTCAGAATGCTCTTTGATTGTAGGTGAACTACAACTCCCAGCAACTACAACTCCCAAATGACAAAATCAATCCCTCTCCAACCCCACCAAATTTGGATGTATCGGGTTTTTGTGCCAACTTTGGTCCAGTGAATGAAAATACATCCTGCATATCAGATATTTACATTATGATTCGTAACAGTAGCAAAAGTTCAGTTATGAAGTAGCAACGAAAATAATGTTATGTTTGGGGGTCAACACAACATGAGGAACTGTATTAAGGGGTTGCAGCATTAGGAAGGTTGAGAAACACTAGGATAGAGAGATTACCAATTCACTTTCATTCAATACATGGTTACCCCCCAGACATTTTCTTTTCCTTTCACAAAATATGCCCGTCTCAGTGGATTCGAGTATATTTATTCATGCTTTGAAAGATAAAAAAGTGTTGCTGAGATAATGTGAAAGAACTGGGACATTTCAAGGCTTCCAAGCACGACATTATCTTTTCTCCTCTTCTTTTTTTGCCATGTCTGATACTTGAAGAGAAAATTAGCACTGTATAACCTCAGGACCTACCTTGAGGCTTATTGTGTCAGATAGGAAGGGAACAGAATGAAAAATTAATGCCGTGCCACTGACTGGAGTTCACCAGTATTAATGCATGCTGGAAATTCTCAGATATCCCTATTGTTTTCTGCAGAATTTAAATCCTATCTAACATATTGCTAGAACTTAACCAGGTAGTGTTCCAAATGTCAGCTGATAGCACATCGTGAGAGTTGATACCGTTTGAAGGTGAATTGCCTCCCCAAAAGTTATGGAAGTTTGTGCTGGGTCTGGAGAGGGTCTGAATTCTTTCTTCGCTCTGCTTCGACACAGTTTAGGTATGTGTATTGTCATAGGCTTCCATGGCCAGAATCAATGGGTTGTTGTGTGATTTCCAGGCTGTATGGCCATGTTCCAGAAGCATTCTCTCCTGACGTTTTGCCTGCATCTGTGGCAGGCATCCTCAGAGGTTGCGAGGTCCTCACAACCTCTGAGGATGTTTGCCATAGCTGCAGGCGAAACGTCAGGAGAGAATGCTTCTGGAATATGGTCATACAGGCTGGAAAACACACAACAACCCAGTTAGGGTCTGGACACAAATTGCTGGTTCACCTATCACGGCAATAAACGCTCTGCGCCTCAGCTGATTCTCAGCACTGAGATGATTCAATAAGAAATTCCTTTTTCTACAACCTTTTTTTAATTTCCATATGTTGCTCTAACATAATTCAAAGCATGCTATAAATACAGGCAATTATGAAAAACTCAAGGCTGGCCTTTAAAACTACCTGTTGCTGGTTTTCTTGGGTGGGTGTTTAGTTCTTCTGAAATATTTAATCAGGTGCATCTGCACCAGGCATGGGCAAACTTGGGCATCCAGGTGTTTTGGACTTCAGCTCCCACAATTCCTAACAGCCAGTAGGCTGATATTTTAAAATGCAGCAAGACACAAATTGCCATATATACTCAAGTATAAGCCAACCTGAATATAAGCCAAGGCACTTACCACAAAAACTGGGAAAATTTATTAACTTGAGTATAAGCCAAGGGTGAGAAATGCAGCAGCTACTAGTCAATTTCATATATATATATATACACACACACACACACACACACACACACACACACATACATACATGCATACATACACACAAATATAATTGCATGTAAGCATGTAAGACATATCTGTTTCGACAGGCCTTTGATCTTTGATATTGCTGTTTTTAAATTGTTTTAAATTGTTTTTAAATTGTGTTAGATTTTAGC